TGCTGTGATTTCGTCATCATGACCTCAGGTTCTTCAACCATATCTGAATCGCGATGAGCGTTTACAGCAGATCCATCATCTTCAGGTGTTAAGCTCCGGTTTCTCAATTTTCTCCCATTCTTCGCCATTTTCTCCGAAATTGATTGTGCGGAATATCAATCAACGATGAAGAAGAAGATTAATCGGTTCAGAAATGGAAGATTTGAAAGAAAACGACGTGAAATCAACAAGATTTGAAGAAGACGAAGAAGAAAAGCTCTGATACCATAATAGAGTTCATGAGCAAAGAAAGTTTGTTATGAAAGATATTTTCTGTATTTTATCAAAACTCAATGTACAAGTATATATATACGTCTAGCCTAAACCAACTAAACTGGAAAAATTAAATACAACTAATCTAACCGGTATTTACAATGTTGATAACAAATAAAAAAACTTTAAATTGCTTCTTTGTTTCATTTAGTTTATTCAGCAATATGAACAACCATTTCAGTTGTATATAAGTGAAGCAGAGAGCACGAGACGCATAGAGAGCTCTCTATTTCGTATGTGCCCAATTCGCTAACCATTTCTGAATTTGTAGCAAAGGGCTCCCTCTCCAGCTGAATTTGTATGAGAAGACGACAAGTTAACAAATCGCTTGACTCGAACAAGAAGAAGGTTTCCCGAGAAACAGAGTTTAGTCGAGCTTTGGGCCTTAAACACTTAAAAGCCCATTTAAACCTTTTTTTTAAGAACAATCGGAAAACCGGGTGCTCTCATTTACAAAACCGGTTTGAGATCAATGCCACAATTTCGATTTGGTTCACCGCTTTACCGAAATAAATTTCCTAGTGTATACCGTTATAGATTTGGCTAGGACTGGGCGCGGAGCGGATATCCTGGATTTTGAAGATATCTGTGATCCGCTCCGCTCCGTCCGGATAATCATGTTTCTGATCCATATCCGCTCCGTAACTATCCGAATATCCGTTTTCTGGATATCCGCTAAAAATTTGAATATTTGCCGGATATCCGATCCGCCCCATAAAAATATTTAAATAATAATATATTTAAAATAAAATTTTAAAAAATCAAAATTTAGCTAAAAATGACAATATTTTCTTTAAAAATATATTTTTTACTTAACTTATTAAGTTTTAATATTTATAATAATCAAATTTATAAAAAAAACTCATAAAAATTACATTTATATATAATAATTATATATTTTATATGAATTATTATCTATCTATATATACATATATATTTATATCGGAGCGGAGCGGATATCCGTCTTAATTTATTTTAGTATTTGTGATTTGTTCCGTTTTTAACGGATATTGAATTTTAGTATTTGCTTTGCTCTATAAAATTACGGATATCCGGATTTTTCGGATCGAATCGAGACAGATAACGGATCAAAGCAAATATAACGGATATTTTGCCCAGCCCTAGTTTTGGCTAAGCACGTAAATGCTTAGATGACTCGTGATCCTTTTATCACCCAATCTTATACCTGTAAATGGAATTATCTTCTTTAACCTGTATATGGAATCGAAGGCGTACAATCTAATCTAATTTTGCGGTTAGACATTGTTTAGTGAATATGCCAGTTATGAATAAAGCTCTTATGTCAAATCAAATTCCATGACGATATTAATTAAAGTTTCATTCTTTTTTTGATGAATGTTAAAATGTATTCAAACCCAGAAAATGACGCTTTCTATATCCAGATTCCTTTTGTCAAATTCTTCTTCTTTTTACTCGTTTTACTATTCCAAGATCGTTTTTCTTTACTCTTTTCACTAAAAAACTTTTATTAAAGTTTTAGACACAGTTTTATGTGTAGAATTCGGATCCAATAGGATTTTTGGTAGACTGGCATATATTAGGGCTCTATATGGAAATTAAATCTGCAGCAAAATCAGCTGAATGTAACGGATCAAATGGCATTGACACCTTTAGCTTTGGGATACAGTTGTCAAACGTTTTAATGTTTTCTACTTATGAGATTTATAGTTTTTTGTTTGTTTTATAACTTTGTAGGTTGTAATATTATAAGCTAGAGATTGTAAACCAATGGTGTTTATTTTATAGGTATAAGCTTGCCTAACTTTAATGGAGCATTTGCAGTGTTCCCACAACTCGTCATCCACTAATAATTGATCAAATACCTATTCGTAATTTTTTATTAATGTAAGAAATAATTGAAAAGAAAACAAATGAAAATGGGTTAAGTATCCATTGGATGCTCATTTGGTAATTGGTATTAGTAGTATATCGCATTTATGTCGTGTCATTACTAGTTATTCCACTAGTGATAGTGCCTTTGATCTTCCTTAATCTGGCTGATGAAAAACCGGACCAAACTCTTTTCTTTCTTATGTGAATTTGCAAGACAGTTAATGTGATGGAGTTCGTTATAACTTATAATTTAGGTTAGATGTTTTGTTATGTATATATATATTGACATTGTTCGGTCGGACTTACTCTATAATTCTAACCGCATTAAAACCTCAATGAAACTCTAGCTAAACGTTTTTACTTCTGATAATTTTATTTTTGATATAATTAGATAGAAACATCCATCATACAATCTAAATGGTCTCTCAGGAATTTGTTGTATATTTTTTTAACAATTTGCAGCCGTAGAAGTTAAAACTGTATTTTCATTATAGAAGCATATAAAACCGATTTCGCCCTATACCATATCAATCACATGGAATCTAAGTAGAATATGCCATTTAGTTTACACTTTGATTCTCAGCTGTCCACGATATATGAACGAATATCAAATTCATACGTAATTTATCACCACAGATACGAAAAAACACACCTGAAAAAGAGCTTTAGATAACGAATATTCGTCCAAAAATATATATCTTAATAACTAAAAGTTTGAGGATGATTACACTATCTTAGACGATAACACTAAACGTAATCACAAGTGTTTTAACATTTTCACCCTCATGATTAAATTACAATATTTCAAGAACAGAAAATATTACAATAGTAGGATTGAAATTCTAGAAAATATAAGTCTCAGCTAACACCATTAACACAAATAATTAATATTCACGTAAGGCAGATTCATGAACAATATATGTTGTTTTCCAGGTGGAGCCAAATAATTAGTTCAAGATTAGAATTGGAGGTTTCAACTTTCATGTGGGGAAAAAAAACATTATGTATATAGCGATCAGATTGAGCCAGGTTCTGATTATGATGATCCTTGTAATCATCACTCAAATCGTCTGAAAAGTGAAAAGGATGGAGGAAGAAATATATTCAACCTTTCTATATAATAGGGAAGATGGAATTTAGCAGAAAATGTGCAACAAAGCGAAAATTTTCTTGACAGAAAAGTAATATGTATATGACCTATATTAAAATCATGAACACGCCAACCTATCTTTCTAAAGGGATAATCCAAATTAAAAGAGAGGGTGAATGACTTTAATACCATATCACTAAAGTCGGATATATCACGGAAAATGATATTCAGGAATTTTGTGTTGTGTTGATAGATAGCTTGCAAAAAGCTTATCAGATTATGGACCTAGCTAGGTTTAGTAGAGAACAAGAAATACGTAACTCACATTCTAGAAAATAGGAAAGGGCTAATTAAGAAAGCACGATACAGATATGCATATCAAAAATCTACAGAAATATACAAAGAAATCTTAGTTCAACTAGACCCCTCACCCCCACGTAATGTCCTAATCCTACTATTTAATCCACTTTCTTCATGGGCTCTCGAGATGATCGCACCTCTTTAATAAACTAATATTTAATGATGCTATTATGCTACACACCTTTTTAATAATTGGATAGTCTAAATAAAAAAAAACTTGAGTAACTCCAGTCTCCTATAAATGTACGAACCCAATAAAATTGAGCGCTAAAAGTTTCCATTTCAAAAGAAAAATCCTAAAATAATTTTAGGGTTTCTATTTTTGAAATTTTTTTTGTAGACTTCCATTTTTCAGTTTTTTAATCAAATCTCTTTAAATTTCAAACTTGTTTTCTGAATTCGTTCACATTAATTTTAATTAATTTATTTCTATATAACGTATCTATTAAATATATAAAAACGAATCAGTTGGAAAAGTTTTTCTATTCACATTTATGGAGAATTTTGATGATTGGCTTAAATTTCTCTTTAGACAATTTACTTTTGTAAAGAGATCCAGTGTACATAAATCGCGGAACCACATATTTATATCGTTAAGAGTAAAGAGTGTGTAATCCATATGCCATACCGATACGTAACACTCAACTACTTACGGATGAATACGTTTCTTACAAAGAGTTTCTTCCAAAATTCAAACTCATTATTTTCATGTATTATTCGGCCAAAGCCCACAACAGAACCGAACTTTTTGAAAGCACGATCAAACAACTGTTTGATGAGTTTTGGAAACCCACATGCATTGTTGACACATCAAAGAGTTAATTTTGTAGTTTCTGCCATGTGTTCTCCTTATGCATCATAAATTATTTGTTTTTTTTCTTTTCTCGTCATGCATCATGTTTATTCTAACCGTAACTTTTGTCGTTTGTTATATTTGTTTTCAAAACTTTTTTATATTAGTGGGAACTAAAGAGTTTCGTCTGTTGCAAAAAGAAGAATGAGTTACATTTGTAGATAAAAAAAGATGGAAGAAAAAATACACACAAAAACAAAAAGAAAAAGAAACAAAAATATGGAGTATCTATATAAGTAGCTTTTTTAAAAACAGTTAATTAAACTCTGAAGTTATAAATGATGAGATCTTAATGAATTTACTAAACAGATTATATAGACACACAGTAAAAGTATTTTTTTTGGGTTAAAGACACAATAAAAGAAAACTTAAACTGAATTAGTATATTAGAAAATTTAATGACTCATTACCCACAATCGCGTTTGATTAGATTGTTTATTCGAGAGTGATAAATTGGATACAAAACACTTCCCCGACCATGTGTGTATATATACGGTCGCTTACTTAAGACATATATCAAACGCACAAAACAAAACTTAAAACAAGATTACTGCATCCCACCTGAAACAACAGAGAAAAATAAGAAAACACAAAAAAAATGGAACCTTCAGATCAAGAATCTCCAAAGCTCATGGAGGCATCATCAAACATATCATCAGCAGCGGAGAAAGGAGAAGCAACAAGGCAACAACAACAATCAAACAATAACAATAGGTGTGCACTCACAGTTGACGAGGTGATCGAGGAACACATAGGAGCACTTGGTTTTTCTCAGATATTGCATGCTCTTTTGGTCTCTATCGCTTGGACCTTCGATGCTCAGACCACTCTTGTATCGATTTTCTCCGACGCTCAGCCCGCTGCGAGGCTCGTAGCAACAGGGGCCATCGTGGAAGGCTCATCGCTGTGTGGTTTTTCGACTCAAGAATGGGAATGGGTCGGAGGAAAAAGCGACACTATTGTTGCTGAGTGGAATCTCATTTGTCAACATAAGTTTCTTGTTGCTCTTCCTTCCACTCTTTTCTTCATCGGATCTCTCTTCGGTACACATCTTGATATTACTTTTTACATGTTAATTCAGTTTCTAAAGTTCAGTATTTTACGGTTTGGAGAATGTTCATCGAAACAGAACCATCTTTTTTTTTTTTGTTTGGTCCGGGTTCTACTCAGTTTTGGAAAATAATTAGTGGTACCAATCAGTAATTAACCAAAATATATATATATATATATATAAAAAAAGCAGTTTGATTTCAATCTCAGTTCGGTTGTCTTAAAATCTTATTATAATCCGTTTGAAGCTCTTCACATCATTCTCATGTTCTTTTTTTTTTTTTTTTTTGTAATTCACAGGTTCGGGAGTTTATGGATATCTAGCTGACTCATGGTTTGGTCGAAAAAAGACACTATTCCTCTCTTGCCTGTTAACGTTTGTCACGGCTTTGGCCATCTCCTTTTCACCAAACGTGTGGGTTTACGCGTTCTTGCGTTTCGCAAACGGGTTTTTCAGATCAGGAATCGGGTCTTGCTGCATCGTACTAGCGACGGAGGTCGTAGGTAAAAAATGGCGAGGCCAAGTAGGGCAATACGGATTCTTCTTCTTCACGTTAGGTTTTCTATCTCTGCCACTAATGGCTTACTTGGAGAGAAATTCTTGGAGAAACCTTTACCGAATCATATCGTTTCTTCCTCTTGGATACGCACTTTTGCTCTTGCCCTTTGCCTATGAGTCCCCTCGATGGCTTCTTGTCAAAGGACGTAACAAAGAAGCCATGGTGGTCTTGAAGAAACTAGCAAGGCTCAACGGGAAACAACTTCCAGCTGATCTCAGCCTCGTGGATCCAATCCCGACGAGAGATGATCAAACTTCGTCACCGGAGAGTTTTTGGAAAACGAAATGGGCAGTGAAAAGAGTCTTAATGGTTATGATGGCTGGATTTGGCAGTGGCTTTGTTTACTACGGAATTCAACTAAACGCAGAGAATCTCAATTTCAATCTTTACCTAACCGTTGCGGTTAACGCACTGATGGAGTTTCCTGCGGTTTTCATCGGAAGTTTCCTCCTCGGTGTCATGAACAGACGTCCACTGTTCTCCAACTCATCATACCTCGCCGGAATCTCGTGCTTGCTCTGCGCGGTTCTCTCTCTCCACCGAGTGACACGTGCCATATCCGTTGCGAAATGGCTGCAGCTAGCGGTTGAGGCGTTTGGATTCATGGCGTCCTCGACGGCTTACGATGTGTTATATGTGTATTGCGTCGAGCTGTTCCCTACCAATGTTAGGAACTTTGCGGTTTCGCTTCTGCGTCAAGCGTTTATGCTAGGAGCGTCTGCAGCACCGTTGTTAGTTGCGTTGGGGAGGGATAACGCAATGATGTCGTTTCTTGTGTTTGGCGTTGCGTCTGTGCTGAGCGGCGTGGTGAGTCTCTGGCTAAGAGAAACGCGAAACGCTCCGCTTTATGAAACACTAACGCAGCAGGGAAAAGCGGAAGAGATGGGAAACGCAACTGAACACTCTTGATTGCATTCACTAACCGTGTTTGTAGTTGTTGGTAAGGAAAATTTGTCCAATAAATGGAAAAAATGTAAACATTCTTGATTTTTCCACTGTTTATGTTTATTTTGAAACAAAAATAATCTAAAACCAAGATTTGTTTCAAGAGAGACAAGAACATTAATAACTCATTTGAACAGATGGGTAAAACAAAAAGCGATCTAACCTTGATAAAAAGGAAAACTGCTGTTCGGACCAAAAAGCATCAAGTGATAATTAAAAAACAAGTCTTTCTGTTCGCAAGCATTAGAAGTGAAAACAAGAATCTGACAGTGCTCAAAAAAGGTCGAGCGACAAACATTTATGCGATGACCTCTTACTTCTTTTTTTTTTTGGTTTTTCTAAGCAGCAGCAGCTTTGGGCTGAGCAGCCTCTTCAGCGACAGGAGTCTCGAAAGTCTCTCCTACTACGAGATCTGGGACATCCTCATCATCATCCTCCTCTTGGATAGTTGCTGGGACATCACCTGCACCTGGAGTCTGTTTCTGGAATTGCTCTGCTAGCTTCTTCAGGTTGTCCAAGTTATCTGGTCCTGACATCATCAAAGCCAAAAGAGATGTTAATTTTAGGGATTATTGGATCAATAAGGGTAACAAGTAAATGGTGCATACCAAGTTGGCTGATAATCTGAGGAAGTATGTCTTGCAATTCTGCAGGAAAATTCACATTTCAGATTGAAATACGCATAAACCGATAACAAGAGTATTGAATCATCTATGGTGTAGATACAACAACACTTACTTTTCGTCTGTGGAGTACCGCTCACAACCCATGTGTTAGCAGCAATCGAAGCTTGAACTGTAACAGCAAAACACAATGATCATTAATAACAACGAAGTTTTGCTAAATCACCGAAATTCAGAAGATTTATAGAGCCACAAGTTTGAAAATTTACCCTTGGGGTTAATGAACTGAATCACGACATCATCCTTAAAGATGTTAACTTCTTCAATGGCGGGGATTGAATTCACTCCAACTCTCTTAAGAGTGCTCTGGAGCCTCTTGTCATCGGTTGTGGTAGTCTTGTGAACAGCCTTCTTCTTTCTGCAATGAGATCAAAAAAAAGTTTAAAAGAACATAACATGGCTAATGCTAATACTGCAAAATAGAGAAGAACAAAGACTTTGTTTACCTTCTTACTGTCCCCTTTCCGCCCGTGCGGACAGTGTTAGCCATCTTCATCAACTTTTCCCTATTCATCTGTATTTCAAAATCACACAAACCTAAAACCATTAAGCCCAGAATGTATCTACCAAGTTTGAAGGAATGCATAAATCTACTACTCTTCACTGAATCAATTAGGTGTATGCAAATAACTAATCCTATTCTAAGCTACGATTAGAACACCGAGCACCACCAAGAAGAACAAAGCTTAACCTAAATTTCGATCTTTTCAATCGATTAGGCCTCCCTTCCTCGAATAAACAGACAGTAGTATTAACATTTAGGCAAGTTTTTGAAAAGAGGAAAATAATCAGTGAAAAATACACTATCTCGAATCCACGAAGAAACCATATAAATCGAATGAAATAGGTCTTAACCACTTCAGCCAAATAAAAACAGAAACTATGGAAACAACCGATATTCTCGAAATGAAATGGAGGAAGAACGATAGTTGAAGTGGCTTTACCTTGATATTCGATTTCTAGGGTTCTTCCTTCGTCGAAGGGTATAAGAAGATAAGAAAAGAGATAGAGAGAGAGGAGAGAGATCCAAGCGGCGGAAGAGGTTTTGCCCTTTAAGTAAATGCGATGCCTCCTGTAACACGAATACAATTATTACATAATCACCATCTAACGGTCAATATCACACGTTCCTATTAAAACTCTCGCTCTCTACCGTTCGATATTACTTTAATCACCGATATTTTATTTCGGACCATGGGCCTATATCTTTGGCCCATTTCAGATTCTCTGTAAAATGCTTACGTTCTTGGCAACACTCACTGAACATTTAACACATTCAGTTTTGCTATGTAATCAAGAAGCAAAATTTTACGTAATCAAGAAGCAAAAGTTTAACAATGAAGTTTGATTTTTATGTAATTTTGTAGTTCATCAAAAAGAAATCTAAGAAGAAGAATAAATGTATTGTCCCAAAACTTCTGCAAAATCGAGGGATTTTCAATGCAGGACATCTCTAAAGTAACAGACACACTTTAGTTCCTTTTTGCTATCGCATTTTATCAAGACATTGTCTTTCTTTAATCGTCGTCCATCAAGCTTGGAACTCGAGGAAGAGCTTAAGCTTCTGCAGTAACATCTCGTTTGTTCCATAAGGCGGTTTCTTGCTTCCGATCCAATCTCTACCAAGAATCCCGGTTTTGTCACTGTTGAGCATCTCATCGCGGAATGTAGACAGAATCTGGTATATCGATATCCTCAAAACATCTGTAGCTGCATACGCATAGGAGTAGAGTGCCCCACTTCTCCTTTTGATCGGTTTAACATCTTTTCTGACCATACTCGAGGTAGCCCATTTGATACTAGCAGGTCCCATCAGTTGTTGAGGCGATTGCAGATTAGTCTTCTTTCCCATAAACGTTTCAACAGCTAACAAAAGAGATAGAAGCGTTGAGACAACATCGGCGTTCCCACCAGAGAGTTGTGCTACTCCAAGCCTGTCTTCCTTGTGAGAGATTGAAGTCAGGGATGCAGTTGTTTGAGCACACCATGCATATAGCTGGAAATAGCAATCAGTTCTTGGTTTAAGCTACCAGAAGAAATCATCACTGAGAAAAGAGCAGAAAATTCTAAACTGCGCTTTACCTGGAAAGACTTGAGTGATTCACCAAATTTAGGATCGATATATGACTCGGGTGGCTGCTGGAGTGGTGTCTGATAGCCTTTTTCAGTGAAGGTGTGGTCTAGCCCAGAAGATAACTTGGAGGCAAGCTCTTCTAAAGGCCTCAAGCATAGAGTGATTACTCTTTTGTAAGTCTCGCTGGACTCCTCGAAGAAGGCAGCACGACGCCATGTGTCGACATTATTCTGAGACACCATGTAGAGATCAAGGTATGCAAGAGATTGCTCGAGGGAACCCGGAGTACTCCCTTCTAATGCAGCAAGAAGGGGCTCGCTTGGATTCGTTTCTGCTGCAGCAGATCCTTTTGGAGGAGCAAACGCAAACCGTTTTGTATGCAGAACCTGGAAAAGAAAATGACAATCGTATCAAGCCTCTTTTATGTGTAAAAAAACCTGGAAAACTAGGTAAAGCTTATGGTTCCCTTGATACAGTGAGAAGTAACACACAGACAAAAGCTCACAGATGATCCTCCAAAATGTCTAGTCAGGAATAATTAAGCTATCAAGGAAAAGTAATCAATTCAATGAATGATTTCCTTGTCTCCCTCACCAATGTTCAAAGAGGAAAAGGCACGCATCTATGCTTATCGAAACAAATATCCATAACTTTTCTTACACACATCTAGAGACACAAAAGAACAGGCAGCAAGTGTTTGGCCTCGACATGGGCTTCCAAAACAGAAATTTTTTAGCAAAGAAATCGCGAAGAATATCAATTCAACATTTGTCGGCATCGCAAACACATCTAACATGCGGTTCCTTTTTAGATATTACTCAGTTGAGATTTGCATCACTCGAGTAATAGTGAGTTCCAAACTCTTCTGCAATCTGACATGTTACCTCGACTAAGTTCACTTAAAAGTTACACGGTTCTTGACATACTACTATACACTACGCCCCCAATCTGAATGGTTATATCACCAACAAATTACATCTTTCGATATAACAAAAGGAATACGCAGATCAACAAAGCCAATTCAGCTAACCTGATGTATGTGGTGAGTCACTTCCCAAGAGAGAATCAGACAGAAACTGCCGGCATAAGATATGACCTGCTCACCCAAGAATCTCGATACGGACACAAGCCCACCCGACCAGTCTAGCAGAAACAGTAGCATTATCGTTGACAGAACATACAGCACACCTGATAGCTTCAGAGCTTGTGTTAAAGCTGAGGGGAGACCAATCTTGAAGCTGAAGAAGGGTGGACGCTGATTGAAACCACAAGCAAGAATCAGCGAATATATAGATAGAAACTGATGAAATATATCAACGAATCAAGAAGCAGAAAAAAAAACAAAAACGTATCCGCAATAAGTCCGTATTATTAAACCTGAATGATGGGAAACTCCAACACCCATCGCTGCTTGAGGACGAAAAGCACGGCGTAAAGCAATCCAGTCACAAATCCTCTAAACCCTATTCTTCCACTCGCTCCAAAAGAGTCACTGGACAAACAAAACACAGCCGCCGAACAGAATCCAGCGAGGGAAGTGGCGGAGACGAAAAGCGCGACGCGCAAGGATATGCGAGCGCGGCGGCGGAACTCCGGATCCGAGAGGTGACGGAGAAGACCGATAGCGAACTGGAGAGGGGAGAGAGGAGAATCTGGAGTCGGAGAAGAGAGGAGAGCGAGTGAGACGGAGAAGAGAAGCTGTGAGGCTTGGAAGACGAGGAAAGTGAACAAAAAGGAGATGATTGAAGTGGTGGAGAAGAGGAAAAGGTTGAAGAAGATGAAGATAGCCGATGAAGGTATTGATTGCCAGATAAGAAAGGCTGCGAAACGGTGGCTCACTACCGTCTCCGGCAACAGAGGAGAAGGCATGTCGCCGGCGAAAATTTACCCCTTTCTATTTAGATTATTAATTTTTTTTTTTTTTAAATGAGTTTCGTGTCCGAACAAGAGGCAGTGAAGTGAGTGACCGACGCGAACGTTTTTAGGGGTTAAGGCTCTTTTCTTATGTCTGCGTTGAATCGCGGAGCGTTTTGTTCACGCTATAGCTATTGAGAGCCCATTGGGCTGAGATTCATTATCAGTAATCTCTCTATAGTAACCAAACTACTAAGATATTTTGAGCTGTTCTAGGGCTTTGATTGATTGGTAATTTTGCGGAAATTACGGAATAGTGGAAAAAATCTTGCAGAATAAATTAATCTACTTATAAATCGCTTTTCTGCAGAATGATTTTTCATTTATATTTTTGTTAAACGAAAACGCAGTCTGTGTTTTTTTGTGTATTTTCTCTTTTTACAGATTTTTGTTGATTGGCAAAAAACTTGCGGAATCGTGTTTTAACACAATTCCGCCAGTTACCAATCAGAGCCATAATGTTTTCGATCATTTTGTGAGTAGATTCTTGGGTTAAAACATTACATCTCACAAAGATTCCGCCGGTTACATCTCACATTACTTATGAGTCCGCTGGTATCTATTCGGATCATTTATCTGTCATTTTTTGTTATTACATCTCACAAAATTTGATATTGTATACCTTTATAAAAGAAAATTGAATAATACAAGAAATGTTGCATCAACATGTTCATCTCGGACAATGTAGTTCCTCAGGGCTCTCTCAGGGACAAGAAAACAACACAAGGCAGACAAAAGCAATTCTTAAATCTCAAAGATAGATAAATCACATTGTTATGTATGAGAGAAGCATATTACTTATTGGCAGCACAAACATTCTCCAAGTACCAATCATAAGTTTGGCGAAGGCCATCTCTGAGTGAAACCTTGGGTGTCCAACCCAAAGATGCGAGCTTTGAGCTATCCATCAGTTTTCTCGGCGTCCCATCTGGCTTAGTGCAATCCCATCCAAGCTTACCTTCAAAACCCACGACCTCTTTCACCAACTCAGCCAACTCTTTGATCGTCACTTCTTGACCACTTCCTATGTTAACATGCTCCAAACCGCTGTATCGATCCATCAAGAAAACACAAGCATCAGCCAAATCATCAACGTGCAAGAACTCCCTCAACGGACTTCCTGTTCCCCACACCACAACTTCCTCTGCTCCATACACTTTAGCCTCATGGAACCTCCTCATGAGAGCAGGAAGCACGTGCGAATTCTCCGGGTGGAAATTGTCGTTAGGACCGTATAGATTAGTGGGCATTCCAGAGATCGCATCCCATCCATGCTGGATCCGATAAGCCTGACAAGTCTTAATCCCAGCGATCTTAGCAATAGCGTACCACTCGTTAGTTGGTTCAAGAGGTGCGGTTAGCAAAGCGGACTCAGGGATTGGCTGAGGAGCAAACTTGGGGTAAATGCAGGAGGATCCAAGGAAGAGGAGCTTCTTCACACCGTGCTCATAAGCAGAGTGAATCACATTGGTCTGGATCTGGAGATTGACACCGATGAAATCAGCAGGATAAGTGTTGTTGGCGTGAATCCCACCGACTTTTGCTGCAGCTAGGATCACGTAAACTGGCTTCTCTTTAGCAAAGAAGGATTCAACATCGGCTTGACGAGTGAGATCAAGCTCGGCGTGTGTTCGAAGGACGAGATTGGTGAAACCCAATTGCTGGAGCTTGCGGACTATGGCAGATCCAACCAAGCCGCGATGACCAGCGACGAAGATTTTGGCTGATTTGTCAGACATGGACGAACCTGACGACATCTCTGCATATAAATTAAAAACGCTGCGAATTAAAAGACTAGGGTTTTGGGGGGTTTTTTCTCTAATCACTATCCAAGAGAGATCCAGAATCGGCCATACATTTTTAGTTCCAGAACATTCCGTCGCAGATTCCATACAAAATGTCGACATAGGGAAGATTCAATTCAGATTAATTGAGAAAGCGATACAAAACAAAAAACAAAAAGGGACTTACCAGAGCCGATCGCTTCCGCCATTTTCCGAGTCTTTGTAGTTCAAAGCTCCAAGAGACCACAAAAAAGGGTAGAAGAATCTGAGAGATGGCGAGAGACGAATTTGGTCAGCAAGTTATTCCTTAAATCGTAGGAAATTGAATTCCCGGATATCTCAAACTGTTGACTTTTTACCAAGGTAACGTAATTTCTATTTTGTATGAGGCTCGAGTGATCCAAAATTCTAAATCATGTAAGCCCATAACAAGCCCATCTATATGAATAGCCAAACCGAAAATACTTATCCAGAGCCTATTTTAAGTTATCACCTACTATAATTCAATAATAGAAAATTCGTGCATTTTTTCCTCTGAATTTATAAAACTACGGTTGATGATTTTAATTTACGTTTGTGTTTTTCATTATTTTATATGTTATTTCTTAGTTTAATAGTTGTTTTTATATATTTGCATTGTGTTAACGTACAATGTTTGTGTTTAGTTATTCATCATATTTGTATTTTCATAGTTTGTTATTTTCATATTTCGTTCTCTTTCCTCATCTTTAACGTTTTTGTTTTTGTATTTTTCAAAATTTCGTTTTCTGTTCTTCTTTCCTTTGTTCTTTGTCTTTTTTATTTTTCATTTTGTTTTCATCATCTTGGACTTCAACTTCTTCTTCTTTTTCTGATTTTTTTCTTATCTTTTATTTTACTTAGTTAGTAAATGTATTTTTCTTTTTATATTTCATCTTCATATGCATCTTTTTCTCTATATTTGATTTTTTATCTTATTTTTTATTCCTTTTCATCATTTTTAACTGTTTTAGTTCATCGTCATTTTCTCTAACATTTTTTTCTAGTTTACAATTTTATTCAATTATTAATATTTAATTATCATTTTTTATTTATATTTAAATTCTTTGTATTTAATTCAATTTGTATTAAATATACTAATGATAAATATAAATATACATACATATAAATATATATTTTAAATAATTTAATGTTAAAATTTAGAAATTTGCTAATGTAAATACTTTAGATGGAGAGAAAACTCTCCTATTATATAATAAATTATCTTATATACTACGTTTTATTCGTAGCAATCGTTGAGCACAACAATTCAATTATAAGGGTCAACTGTTTTGGTTCAGATTAGTTGATTTTAGCATCACATCGAGAATAACTTTTTTTCTTTTTAACGTCAAAAATTGACATTTAGCAAAGATGATCAGATGAATAGTGAATTATTGATAAAAAAAAAAAAAAAAAAAAAAACAGAGAAGGTCTTTTATTCGATATGTAATTTTAGCGACCACATAGAGGTTTTATTATAAATCAAATTAAGCGAAGACTAATAAGAGTCTTGTCCTCTCACATAGTCTTGGAAGGAATCTCAGTCACATTAGCTTTTTTGAACATAACCAAGAACGGGTCACCACTGTTAAGGCAAGAACGAAGTAAAACGTATGATTCATGGTTTTGTTAGTTTTCGTGAGGATTCGAATGTTTGTTGGGCGAAGAAAAGATGAGTTTGATCTGTTGATGTAATACTTATAAACAAAGACACTAGTATAGCCAATGGTGACACGGATGAGGCGGCTTTGATGGCTAGTGGTTTTGTATTGTGAACTATAAACTCTCAATATTATAAGGAATTCGATGTTGATGGACACATGCCCATTTGATAATAATGAAAATTTTCATTTTATTGAGATACTAATCAAAGGTGACATAAAACACAACAACATAAAAAGGAAATTTAAGATAGAAAACAGAAAGAAAGAGTTGTTTGTGTTGCACAAAAAAGAAAATGACTGTTTATGTTTAGTTCGAAATCCGTAAACATAATGTATTTAGAAGACATGCTCTTCGGTAATGGTTATCTGGTAGATCTTTTTGACCATGTTGTTTTGCTGGTACGTTGTGTTTCATTGCATCATAGCTTATATATCTTTGTTTTGCTGGTGTGTTATGATTCATTGCATTATAGCTTATATATCTTGCTGCTTGAAGAATCCTACGGCTCACATCCCAACTTGATCCCATATTCCTAATTGTTTCTTTTCCACCGCCGATGCAGTTCCCACCAAACCGGTCACATTTTACATGTCGAGATTGGACCAACGCTGGAAATAAAGCTGCCGAGATGATTACGACGATGATCAAGATCTTCATACATTTCATCATCGAGAATCGAGTGGATTTAAAATGGAGAGTGATTGATTCGATTATCGATTAGGGCTTTAAGGGTTTGTAATTTAACAGCTGGTTTATCTACATATTTATAAAGGTCCATTTTTTGTAGGTTCATTGTTCTATGAAACATATTCAAATCTTATTCCATGGTTCTTCGAATATTTGACCTATTAATATTGGTTTTTTTCTTTTTGAGTGAAAATCTGGTCTTCTTACACTGATTACCTGTACTTGCTTTGATCAACGGAATAAATGTTGAAAATGAGTCAATACACATAATTTAACTGGTCAAAAATCTAATGATGCTTTCTATATTTGCATATACATTGATGGTTCAACAAAACTAAAGGGAATGTATTTAACAAAACTGAGGGGATGTATTGTAACATTAACTTTTAATTATTTGGAGAAATTTCAGAATTGGAAGAGAATTAACAAATTTGTTGGTAAATTGATAGAACATTTTATTAGGTTGTAGGGTGTTTTTGTGTGACATATGAAATTATTGCAATGTTAATATTTTTAAGGTACCAACACAAGCTAATATATAACGAAAGTTATTTCCGAGTCTTCGTAGTTCAAAGCTCCAAGAGAACAAAAAAAGGTACAAGAATCTGTGAGATGGCGAGACGAATTTGGTCAGCAAGTTCTTTCTTAAATCGTAGGAAATTGAATTCCCCGATATCTCAAGTTCTCAACTGTTGACTTTTTTTACTAAGGTAACTTACATTTTATTTTGTATGAGGCTCGAGTTATCCAAATCGTGTAGGCCCATAAAAGCCCATCTATATGAATAGCCAACCGAAAATACTTATCGGAAGCCTTTTTAAGTTAACAAACCCACAGAGAATTTGTTGTTCAATAATAGAAATTTCGTGCATTTTTAGGGAGATTGCAAAGTCTTGATTGACACTTTAAGGGGAATGACTTCTGATACAAGCATCGAAAACATCAATGCAGACATCCTTTCATGGGCTACTAAGTTTGAAGAATTAATGTGTTTACTTCCCTGTTCAAAAACTCTGCCGCCTAGCCTAGTCGGCTGTCTAGGCGTTAGGTGATAGGTGACCACCTCGATTAGGTGCTAGGCGGCGGTTCTAGGCGGTTCTCCGATTTTTCACCGCCTAAAACTGTTTAGGACCACCTAAAACTACCTAAAACCGCATAAACCGCTTAAAACCGCTTAAGTCCGATTAAAAAACAAAATTGTCGCCTAATTTTTAAAAATCAACCCAAAAAATCTTTAAAATTTTGAAATTTGCCCAATTTTACTAATAAAATTTCCATATTTTTTCTGAAATCGGCATAAAATCAACCTTATTATTTTTCTTTCCTAATTAAAAACGACATCACATCCAATACTTAATCAATTAACTATTTTGACGACGTAATTTCTAATTAACAATTTCAATTATACTAAATTACAATGAAATCAAATCAAAATCAAATATAAGTGAGTTTAAGTTCTAAAATCATCTAAAAATATTAATATAAATAATTAAAAATTAAATATAATATAAATTAATTAAAAAATTAATCACTGATTAATCAACGATGAATCACCAATTTTCGACCTAGGCTCTAGTCGGAGCCCGTCCGCCCACCTACCGCCTAGCGATTTTTTGAGCACTGGTTTACTTACATGTACTTCGATCCTGTAATTCATCGTATATTAGCCAGAATTGGCCTGTCAAATCGTAGTTTTTTTCCACCGGATTGGCTAAAACCATATTTGTGTCATGAATGTATTTTTCTTTGACAAAAAAAAATCATGACTATATTTCTTCTATTTAATATAAAGTAGTTTGCTGAAATAAAAAATTCATGCATTTTTTTCCTCTGAATTTATAAAATTGTCTTCTATACTACGTTTTATTCGTACCTAGCAATCGTTGACCACAATTATCCGATTATAACGGTCAACTGATTTGGTTAAGACTAGTTGATTTTGGAATCACACCGATAATAACTCCTTTTTTTTTCCAACGTCAAAGATTGATATTTAGCAAAGATAAACTCGTGGTCAGGTGAATATTATTAAGCTATTGAGAAAAGAAACAGAGAAGAGGTCTTTTTATTCGATATGTAATTTATAGGGAATACAGAGAAAACACACCGAGAGGTTTTATCATAAATCAAAGCGAAGACTAATAAGAGTCTTGTCCTCTTACATAGTCTTGGAAGGAATCTCAGTCACATTAGCTTTCTTGAACATAACCAAGAACGGTTCATCGCTTAAAGCCAAACGCCTAACGCCGGTTTCATCAACGAATATCCCGACATCGCTGCATTTTGGACCGCCAGATTCGCAAGTCCGAGGGCAGAACCTAAACTTGTAAGCATCATCTCCAGATTTCTCGATCGTGAAGAAACTCTTGAAAGAATCTTGTGGACCAGCCACCACGAAGTACTGCTTCCTCTCGTCGTCGAACTCACCGACTCGCCAGTACGTTGACTGGATGCAGATCGTGGCTGCAACGTCCGTCTCGATGTTAAGCCTCGCTGATTCGGGAACGAACGCAACTTTGAGACTCCAGTTTGAGAATTTTACCGGGATACCGTCATCGACCTCGGAAGATTCTTGCACGATGTCGAGAGGACATGGCTGGCCACCGCGTCCGCCTAGACTCAGGCCGCCACCTTGGCCGCGGATGACGGGGAGAACGTAGTAACTGCCGTCGAACATGGAGTCGCCGTCGATGTCGAGAACCGCACCATATGCGTTTGCGGCCAAAACCGCGGTTAAGGCAAGAACGAAGTAAAACGTATGATTCATGGTTTTGGTAGTTTTTGTGATTATTCGAATGTTTGTTGGATGAAGAAGAGATGAGTTTGATCTGTTGATGTAATACTTATTTATAAACAAACACACTAGTAGAGCCAATGGTGACTGGATGAGGCGGCTTTGATGGCTAGTGTAGGTTTTGGCTTGTCAACTATAAACTCTCAATATTTATATGGAATTTTATGTATACTAAACATTGAAAAGATGATCATATCTTCCTATATTCTACAAACACGCTTCATTCATTTCTTTAATTATTTATGTTTGTTTTGGTCAAGCCTCAAATTTTTAGTTTTTGAATTTTTCCTTAAGGTATGAAATTGTAATTTCATATTATAGAGTAGTATTGATTAGGTATGGTTTTCGTTTTATCCGTTCCTAGCAGCTTATGTCTACATTTTCTTAAAAACGTTTTAAGTTTTTTTTTGTTAAAGTAAAAAAATAAAAGGGTTTCGTTTCGATCATTTTACTTTAATATCGGTTCCGTTTTTTCTATATACAGAAGATTTTCAAAGAACCGAAACTAAGATTTATTTATAGTTTTTGGGTGTCTATTTCAGTTCAATTTGACTAAACCAACCAAAATGAACACGTAACAGAAATTACTAACAGTATTTTGATCCTGATCCATACATGTCAATGTCATTTTGTTTGTCTTTCTCTTGGCTAGTATAATTATAAACAATTTCATTGTCATGCCATTTTTGTTCAGTTTATTATGAGTATATATGTAAGGATAACAAAAGAAACAAAATAAAATCAAGCAGATGGCTATATGTATGCAGTATGCTTCAAGAATCAAGAGTAGTGGTAAATTTTCTATATTACTATTCCGTAACGTGATCTAAATAAGAATGTCTTTTTTATTAGGGTAACCCACAGACAGTAATAAATTAGCTAGCCTAGAACCAATTATTTTCACTACCATGAACATGACTAAGGGCTTGATTGATAGTGCATATTCATGGGTGTAATGCTTTATAATAAGTCAATTATGTTTAAGTCAAAGGCAAGAAAGAGAGTATTATTTTGGGTTTCTAAGAGCATCAGCAACGGTGATACTTAGCCCATTTTGCATCGATGCTTAGCCACAAAAAAAAATGAAAAAAGTAATTAAAAAGAAGAAGCGATGCTTATTTAAGAGCCATAAGCATCAATCCCAAAATCAATTGCTCCATTGCTGATGCTCTAAATGCTTGATACTTCAATGCTCTTTAATAGAGCTTTTTGAAAGCATAAAGCCTAAAGGCTTTTTAAATCTAAAAAGGTAATATTACCCTTAATTTTTTGATTATATTTTTTTTTTATATGTCACTAAAAATTAACTACAAATTTATAATCTTATCATAACCTAACCCTGATTTTTGTTAGGTTTAAAGAGGATGTTGATGCACGAGAATTACAAAGCGCAGCCTGAGTACGTGAAAGCTAAGACGGCTGTGTGGTGGGACATCAACACCTGTCCGATTCCACATGGTTATGATGCTCGTCGTGTCCGCCCGAGTATAGAATCGGCGTTGAAGAATCTAGGATACTATGGTCCTGTCGACATCAGAGTCATTGGCTACCTAGAAGACACCCCTGAACACGTCCTGCGAGTGCTCTCTTCCACAGGGATCTATGTTAAACACGGTCGCGCAAACGGGATCCTTTTTTACTCGTTGATGTCATGGCAAGAGCGTAATCCACCTCCGGCTTCAATGATGCTAATATCCGATAAAGTGGAAGATATTTCTTTGGCTCTTTGCCTTCGACAGCAACGGATTAGTGGATACAACCTTCTTTGTGTATATAAATGTGATCCTGAGTATGTTTCAATTTTGTACAACACTGGGGAGTGGCTCTGGGAAAGCTTACTAGCGACTGGTGATGAAAACATCGATGATGATAAACCCGCGGAGACAAGAATACAGTCGACGTTTATTTTGCCCGAAGAGCATTTGTTTTATTGCTCAACATGCTGCTTTCCTACCTGTAGTGATCTAAACCTCAAATCTACGCTCCTATCTCAGCTCAAGAACACCGAGTCAACATTAGAAAGAAAAACTAAAAGCAACGACACAAGATTTTGTTAACCCAGAGTTCACTTCCTTGAGGATAGCTACTCTCTGGGGCTCGACGGCACGAGCAAGAATCAATCCACTAGAGAACAAGATCGATACAAGAGATTTACACTTAGATCACGAAGAACAATCCTCTTCGATCTCTCTTTCTCTCTCAACCTTATCATCTAATGTCTATATTCTCTTACTGTAACAGACTAATCTTATCTTCCAATATATATATGAAAGACCTTGGTTCAACTTGATCAAACCAGATCCAATAACCTTCCTGGTTATCTCCAATCTTCTCTTGAACCTATTAAGCTTATAACCAAATACCGGTTTAGCTCAATTAACCATAGCGTTGATATAACCTTCAACTTACACTACCCAAAGCCTTGAAATTTTCACCACGCATCTCTCGGTAAAAGAACATGAAAGTGAAGTAAGGTTCCTCTCTGCTTGTATCATCTATTACATTTTTTCATTGTCCAACTATTTGAGTCAACATTTATGACCACCCCAATGTTTTTGTTATCTTGTTCCACTCAAGCAGCAGACGGCCCTTGACAAGTCTAGGATTCAGTACAAACAATCACATGCAAGTTTTCACATCTCAATACCTTCTCTTCTTAATAAAAAGAATGAAATTGACTTTGGTTGATGCTAAAGCATTTTTTGAAGACAAAATGTTGCAACTCGTTGAATTCTGTTTTTAAAAATGCTTCATCATCTTGATTTTTCCACATGCCGTGTTCTGTTCTCATGTCTCCAAATACTCATGTTTTTTTTTTTTTTTGGGTCGAACCAAATACTCATGTTTTATATGCATCTTTTGCAGGTAGAAAAAAATCCTCCCAAGAGCAAACGTTCGAAGAAGCGAGCTCGACGTGCCAGGCGTGCCGCCGCTCGACAAGTCCCAAGCCTGTAAGAGAGGGAATTGCACAAGTCATCACTCCTGGAAACCTCTCTCGTTCCATGAATTTTTTCGCCAAAATAATCGTTTCATCACAAGATGACTCGTTTGAAGTTTTTTCTTTTTTCGTTTTGGTTTGCTTTTAAAAACGACGAAAGATTCCGTGGCCTCGATCGATATTCTCAAGTTTTTTTATATTATATGCCGATTAGATCGTAACCTAACCCTAAAATTTCACCTTGTAGAACAAAACATCCTCTCTAAATAGAAAACAGCTTTTGATTCATCTCTGTATGAACCTAGATATAATTTTGTAATTTTATATCTAACTGTTCATAGCTTTACCAATCATATATCATCAAAATAATATGTAATATTTCCACTCTTGAGATTTCCGTTGAGTTCCTTTATGCTGACTCATAATCTCCACAAAAGGTAACCCTTGTATAGCGCAGATTAATAACTGCAGCAAGTAATGCTTCAACTTCTGCCTCTGAGGATGATGTAGTAGGATTCATTGCTCCAGAACCTGTTAGTAATTTCCTCAAAGGGAGAGGTTTAAAATCACGCAAAATTCATATTTTTCGTGCTATGTAAATCTTAAATTAGAGAGGAAGGAAACAAAAGAGATCTGTTTTATTCAAAAAAGGAAAAAATATTTTATTGAGTGGATATTTCAAATATAATAGTGAAGAAAACCACCCAAAAATATATAGAGAAACATACTTTTACAAAGGTTGGCCATTGATCCACCCTTGAAACATGATAAAGCTTTCCTCTGGTTTAAATTCTGCGGTGTGCCCACCTTCCTGTAATCAAATATAATATTGCTTCTGTTTTAAACGTAATACATAGGTCCTTGTCGCTAAGTGTTTACATCAATTTCCAAGTTTGACATCATCATGAACACGACGACAAACAAACCGCAATGGCTAACACGATTGATTAAGCGAAGAGTCATCAGCGAGCCATCTCTTGGACTTCTTCTCTAGAACGTAAAGCACTACTCTACGGCTGCAATAATCCGGATGCCATTGAGTTTGTTCCACACGCCCGATCGCAAAATCTTTCAGCGCAGATTTTAAGAAATACTCAAGAACAGCATCTGAAAAAAAAAGAAAGAGCAAGGAAGATTAGAACATTGTGTTCTTGCTATATAAGGTGAGTGAAAAGCAACAACGAGAGAATGATTCACCATTCCGTAGCTCTCCTGCTAAGAAGATTGTAGTTTGATCTCCGCAAAGTTGCAGAAGCGTTTTGATCAAATGGTGAACAGCATCTTCGCTGTATATAACATCTGAGCCTAATACTACAAGTGCAATAGAAAATAAAAAGGTGAGCAAATGCAAAATGTTGTGTACAAAGCAAAAGTGGATGAGATAAAAAGAGATCAATACCGTACCGTAATCAGGGAATGGTTCGAGCAAATCTGGATCCGGGTCATCTCCCCAAACAAGCTCCTGCACAATGGCAGATCCTCGTATGTTCCCACGATGCAAATTGGTTTGGATGTTCTTCTTGAGTAGTCTGAGTCTATCTGGAAGATCTGTGAGGACAACATTGCCTCCTAAAAGTGCTGCAATACAACTGAAAGAACAAATGTTTTTCAAACAGTCCTCGCGGAGTTTAATGGTAATTCACGGAGGAGAAAGATTTGCACTTTTTTTTTTTTGCTCACCCAACCAAGCCACATCCAGAACCCAACTCAACGATTTTCTTGCCTTCAAGAGAAAGATTCTTCGAGTCGACAGAATGTTCTAAGAACTTTCCTAGCACCACTCCACTGTCCCACATCACTGACCCGGTTACTCCAGGTGTGCTCTTCACATACACAACAAAATACCCATCAGATCATTTAAACAAGACAGTGCAAGAAGAATCAAAATCATCACTTTCTTCATTGTTAGCTGAATGTTTCACGAATCATCTTCTAATATACATCGGAATAAAAGTTCACGAGAGACATTTAAACAAACACATTATTGTCTACAACTACCCTGTTCTCAATGCATCGAAAGGGGTCAATATAGATCCCCAAAACCGCAAAATTGATCTCAATTAACCATAAAGTTCACAATTTTTTTTTCTTGTATGAATCTCTTGACTGAAACAGAAACAGAGAAGTTACCAGTGAACAAGGAGACTGGAGAATAGAGAGTGAGTGGCCACAAGCGTCAAGACGGAGCTCAAGAGAAGACTGGGAAACTAAGGCGTTGGGAGCAAACGAAGTTGGCCCTTGAATAGCCCATACAATCATAATCTCCGCCGCCGCCAAATCCGAATCAGATTCCGATCCATAATCATACTCCGACTCCGACTCCGAAGCCGGAAACCCACCGACGGCTATTACATCTCCGCCGTAACCACTCATCCGTCGTATCTCCTCCATTGTCTCCGCCTCCTCGCACATTTTACCAACTCCAAACGCGCCGACGAATTGATTTCTCTCGGCGCCTTCTTTAGGAGACGGACCAAACAGAATTTACAGAACCTCTCAACGAGGGTTACTAAAGTGAAATACAACATAATTTTGGGGCTATTAATAATTAACCAATAGTTTAACCTTTTCTCTTATTCACCCCAAATGTTCATAAAAGATATAATTAACCCAAGGGATCAAGCAATAGTATAACTTTAAACTTGCAGAATATTTAACATACACACAATAACCATATGTGTTTATTTCATATAAACCGTTGGTTACATCACAAACTTGGTATTGTCACAAGCATTCCCCAATCCGTTACAACATGTACCAAGAAGAATTCACATTTAGAAAAAAGGGAACATCCTCGAATTAGATTTAAGATGACAGTTTGAGTTTGCCTTTTGAAACTTAACAGCAAAAGATTGATCGTTGCTAAGAACCAAACGTCGAACTCCAAGACCATCAATCTCCAAATCCACATTAACACACGCAGCAGAGGCGATAATCGGACAGTACATAAGCTTGTAAGCATCTCCATCTTGTTGGATCTGAAAGAAGCTATTCGCTTTACGTTTCTCACCACCAATGCTTACAAAGCTCTTCCTCAGTTGCACAGAGTGGTCGATTCTCCACACTTTTGATTCAGGGCATAGCCAGACCGTAGAATCAAACTCCAGGTTGAGACTAGTTGAGAGCTGGACAAGCTTGTTTTTGGTGTTGAGTAGAGAGAAAGTTATGGGAAGTCCTGAGACGAAAGGAGACGATGACTGGACAATGTCTAGATTCAGACACAAGTTGTCTGTGTTTAGGTTCCGGCTTGAAGGGACAAGACCACCTCCGGTTCCTGTTTTGGCCGGTATGATGTAGTATTGGAAATTGGACTGAACCGGATGCCCTGCTATGTCTAGGACATTGGTCGCTGAAGCTGCGGTCAAGCCGGCCAAGAGAACGGTGAGAGTGATGAAAGACAGAGTAAGCTTCTTCATTGGGTTATAGTTTGGGACTTCTTGTGGTGTGTAATGATGAGCTTATCTTTTATATATGCGAATTTATGCAAAAATGTTAGCAACTGAAATAATTTGTAACCAAAGAAATTGTTGAAGCTTGCATCGTTTTATATGTCTTTGTCATTCACCAAGAAGGAATATTCGCTCTCATCTACGCACGTTTTTTTTCTTCATCGCCTCTCAAATTCTGTGTGTAAAGCACACTTTGTAATTTAGTGGAGATTTTGTTTATTTCCCGAAGGAAAACAGAGATTGTATTACAAGATTATTATTTTTCTATCGTATATATAGTCTTAGATATAAATTCCATAACATTCTAGCCTACTTAACTTAACCAACCGTATTTTCTCAACCGTCGTGAAATGCTATTTCTTTGGCATATTTTCATAGATCAGAATCTACATTTTGTTCGGAGATTAAAAGAGTTACAGGTATCTATCAAAGATAAAAATAAAATATTTGTTGATAGATAGAAAGATCATTGCCATGCGAGTAAAAATAAGATATCAAAGATTATGAAAATCCTTACCATGCGAGTCCGAACCAACAAAGGTCTAAAGTACATATAAAATTGATTATTATTTGATATGCTCGCGAAACTCGCAGGACAATTAACAATGATTTCTAGTACGAAATTTTCTCATTTAAAAATTTGGCACGTTCTGACGTTGATCATGAAGCGTCCAGAGTTGAAAGATAGAGAGTAGGTAGGCGACTATTTTTTATTTTTTTTTTATAGTATAAAGAGATCCAATAATTATCCGGTCCTTACAGGGATTGACTTTCAAAAACTGAAAAACGAATGGCTAACGACTACGTTTCCTCTGTTCTGAAAATTATGTTTCTTCAACTTGTCTTGTTGATCCAGCATGCTGAATCCGCCTCTATCGTCAAGTTTCTACCTGGTTTTGATGGCCCTCTTCCCTTTGAGCTCGAAACCGGGTTTGTTTTTCTTGTCTTCTTCTTGTGATTTTGTTGAATCCGTGTTAATCATGAGTATGGAGATATATATAATTAAACTAGGTTATTGTTACTTGTGAATCAAGGTACATAGGTGTTGGTGAGGAGGAGGAAGTGCAATCGTTCTACTACTTCATCAAGTCTGAGAGGAACCCACAAGAAGACCCTCTTCTTCTCTGGCTAAGTGGAGGACCTGGCTGCTCTTCTATCTCTGGCCTTCTTTTTGAGAATGGTTGAAATCTAAACATATTTGATCTTCTTTTCAACTCGTTCTTCATGCGTCTCTGATTAGTTGGTTTCAATTTAACAGGGCCTCTGACTATGAAGCTTGATGTCTACAATGGAACTCTCCCTTCTTTGGTCTCTACTACATATTCATGGACAAAGGTAACACCATTAATATTCTTGGACAGCCTGTTATGGACAAAGTTTATTTGTTCATATTATGACGATGAATAACCCCAGTGATAAAGTCTTGATCATCATTTTTTTCTCAGACTTCGAGCATAATATTCTTGGATCAGCCTGTTAGAACTGGCTTCTCGTACTCAAGAACCCACCTAACTACTAAACCGAGTGATTCAGGAGAAGCCAAACGGATCCATGAGTTTCTTCAAAAGGTAAAAAAAGGCAAACTTATATTCTCTTGAAGCAACTGTTCATTGTGCATAAAAATTTAGGAGTCTTTCTATTTTGTTACTTGTTGTGCAGTGGCTAGGCAAGCATCAAGAGTTTTCCTCCAACCCTTTTTATATCGCCGGAGATTCTTATTCCGGTATGGTTGTTCCGGCTCTCGTTCAAGAAATCTCTAAAGGTATGCTTTTATGGTATTAACCTCCAAGCCATTTCTAAATCTTCTTCTTTTTTTTTTAAAGGTCACCTCTCAATCAGATTTTTAACAGAAAAAACGTGATGATACAGGAAACTATCAGTGTTGCAATCCTCCAATAAATCTTCAGGTTCTTCTTCGGTATTTGTCGCTTCTTATATAAGATATAAGCATATGCAAATGGAACAGTACGTAACAACAAAAAAGCTATGATTTAGAAAACAAAAAGAACCTTAATGTTTTTTAAATTATGTATATAAATGATTAAAAATTTGACGTCTATAAAAACTATGAACACGTCAAATATACGTCTATGTAAAAATTATTAACACACCAAAAACTGAAATTTATCGTCCTTGATAACAACATATAGGGGTATGTGCTCGGTAACCCAGTAACAGAATTTAAAATTGATTATAATTCCCGCATTCCATATGCTCATGGTATGGCACTAATCTCCGATGAGCTGTACGAGGTATGAAATATCATCATCATGATATGCTTTTGCTTTTTTTTCCCCCCACAATGAAAATAATTAAAAAGCAGGTTAAAACAAATTTTTTCTTTTTCTTTTGGAAGTCGCTAAAAAGAATATGCAAGGGAGAATATGCAAATATTGATCTACGTAACGCAGAATGCTTGAAACTCGTTGAAGAATATACTAAGGTACACTCGTGGAATTTTTTTTAGTCGATCGTGTTGTGTCTGCCTAGTAAAAAATCATCACTAATTTCAGACTTCTTGTGCTTAATAATTTGTTGTTTAGTGTACAGAAAGAATAAACAAATATCTTATATCAACACCATTGTGCAAAACTGAAAATCCAGATTGCTATGTAAGTAATCCCTCATGCCCTCTTTTTACCGTTGAGAACAGATACATATATATAAGTTTGCTTTGGCAGATGTATCGCTATTTGTTATCTACCTACTGGGCCAATGACGAAACCGTGCGCAAAGCTCTTCAAATCAATGAGGTATATATATGAAAATTTACTTTTAAGTTTTTTGGTAAAGAAACAATGGCAAAGGCTATAAGGATAAATGTTATTGCAGAAGAGTATAGGGGAGTGGGTACGATGTAATTGGTATATTGCTTACACTCATGACATTTTAAGCAGCGTACCTTACCATAAGAATAACAGCATCAATGGATATCGTTCTCTCATCTTCAGGTCAGATTTTTAAATCTTGCTGATCTTTTTTAGTTCTACCAATTAAGACTTTATTCTTTATTTAAACTTTGCGTGGTTTTTGGTGAACAGTGGTGATCACGATATGGTAGTACCTTTCGTTGGAACTCAAGCTTGGATAAGATCTCTCAACTATTCCCTCATTGATGGTTGGAGGCCATGGATGATCAACGATCAAATCGCTGGGTATATATACTGAATTTTTCTTCTCCATTCCTTCTATCAGACTCGCACTGAAGTTACTTTTTGATCCTTTTTCTTCACAGATACACGAGGACTTATGCAAATAAAATGACATTTGCTACTGTCAAAGCAAGTTTTTTCCCACTCAACGATTATATTTTGTGGCTTTAGCTTTTTTTTTTTTTTAATTGAGCTGTGGGTTTTGATTATAGGGAAGTGGGCACACACTAGAGTATAAACCAGAGGAAAGCTTTATCATGTTTCAAAGATGGATCAATGGCCAACCTCTGTAAAAGAGGAGAGTGGCCTTTACGTACTATATAGGGACAAGAAATTGTGATTCTAGCTAACTATCTAATAGTCATTTTATCAAAGTGTGTTATACGTACATATTCACGTGTACACAGTACACAACTTCATCATATATATAATAAGGCTTGGCCTTTAAGTGACTTGAACTATAAATTCGCAATTTTTTAATTCAATTTTGTAATCAACGCATTTTCTGCCTTGTCTCAAGACTCTCAAGTCTCAACCATTGTTTTAAAAATGCCATTTCTTTGGGACATCTTCATAGGTCAGAATTTACATTTTGTTCGGAGACCTTGGGCCGGGCCTGGTCAGGTAAACTCTTCGCAAATCAAGTTGAACGGGTGACCTTGAGTTACTTCGCAAATATAAACCACCATCCACTTTGTCATTGAGACAATGATTAAGAAGCTTAATAGTTTTTGGTGATTATAACAAAAAATAATACTACTAAAGAAAAAAGCGGCTGTAAATAGTAATGAAAAAGGCGGGTTGGTTAAAAACATATTAATGGTAGTTTTGGTTGGTGATAACTGATAAGCGGTCAAGAAATTATTATTTAAAATGTGAACTTGAAAGAAAATTGAAAATAATAATATAAAGAGATATATTTTTTAAAGAAAAGTAAATAAATAGGATAAAAATTTTAGAAAAGACCAACCATCCATGTGTAAAATTAATACTATAAATAAAACAATAAAAGCATTGGTGTGAAGTGTAAACAGTGAAGCGTGTGACAGTATGATTAAGCAACAAGTCAGGAGTTTCCGGATGACTCGGAGGCTTTTGTCCCAACCCTTCTTACCCAAATATGTCTTAGCTGGCTCCTGCTGGCTCTTAATGCCAATTGCAGTAAAATAATCCATTTCTTATATTTTCATACGTATACTAGCATTTTTTTTTTTGTTAAAAGGCCTATATACTAGAATATTTTCTGTATCCAACAATACTTTAATTAATTCTAAAAGTAAAAAAACATGTAAAACTATTTAAATGTTTTTCTAAAAAATTAAAGTATTTAAATGTTTCAATATAAAACTCCTAACAGACAACGTTTGAGTCTAAAACGCGTGGTTTCTGATGCGGCTCATGATGCCTCGTCGTGGCGCTTTTGAAATCGAGCCCATATCATAAGCATTATTATTAACCCATTTGACCACACCTTTTTGACTCAATTTTAGTGGCTCCATAAAGTTTGACCTTACCTCATGATTCCTTCACCGTCACGTCAACCCAAAAAAGGCTACTTGAGGTCAAAGCAACCTCGCAACACTACAACGACGACTCTCTTCTTTCTTTTGTAATGCTTAACATTATCACTTTCTTTTTTTATTTTCAATTTTAATTAAAATTTACTCAGTTTCTGCTTACTTGTTCTGCAGTCCTAGCTGTAAAATTTGTATATAAAACTCCTCCACGAACTCTCCACACACACCGAGACAGAAACAACAAAGGCATTGATTTTTAATGACGGAATTTACAGGAGAATCCTATTGGCTTCTCTCTGCCGCTGCATCAACTACATTTCTTGCCTTCATCATCATCTTCTTCCTCGCAGGAATAGCAAGAAGAAAGAGAAGAGAGCCTCACAAGCTGCCTCCGGGAAGCAGAGGATGGCCTTTGATCGGAGACACCTTCGCTTGGCTCAGCGCCGTCTCCGGTTCTCATCCTTCAAGATTCGTCGAGAAACAAATCAAAAGGTTCCATTTTTTCAGAAAACAAATAAAAAAAAAACATCTTTTTCGCGACACAAAATCGAGACTCACATGAATGCTACGCTCTGTTTTGTGATGCTCTGTTTTCTAGAGTTCTGATCATTGGTGGGTTTCTTGAGTATAGGTATGGGAGGATATTCTCGTGTAGCTTGTTCGGGAAATGGGCGGTGGTATCCGCAGACCCAGAGTTTAACCGGTTCATAATGCAGAACGAAGGCAAGCTGTTTCAGTCGAGTTATCCAAAGTCTTTCAGGGATTTGGTCGGAAAAGATGGAGTGATCACGGTGCACGGTAATCAGCAGAGACGGCTACACTCAATTGCATCGAGCATGATGCGTCAAGACCAGCTCAAGACTCATTTCCTTGAAGATATTCCTGCGGTTATGCTTCAGACATTGAGTAATTTCAAGGACGGGGAAGTCGTGCTTCTCCAGGATATCTGCAGAAAGGCAAGTGACTGAATGAAGAAGAAGAAGAAGAAGAAGATAGCTTTGAGAGATTTTCTTGATTTCTGATCTTCTTTTGGTTCTGTTCTTCAGGTTGCGATTCATCTTGTGGTTAACCAACTTCTTGGAGTGTCGAGCGAATCAGAAGTCGATGAAATGTCTCAGCTTTTCTCTGATTTTGTCGATGGATGTCTCTCTGTTCCTATCAACTTGCCTGGTTTCACATATCACAAAGCAATGAAGGTAAAGATCAAATAAATAAACAATCGATGGTTGGTTCTGAGCCGGTTCGCTGAGATTTGTTTGTTTATTGTTCAGGCAAGAAAGGAGATCATAAGCAAGATAAACAAGACGATAGAGAAGCTGTTGCAGAACAAAGCAGCATCAGAAGCAGCGGATACTTCTGGGAACGGTGTACTTGGAAGATTGCTTGAAAATGAAAGCTTACCAAACGAATCAATGGCAGATTTCATCATCAATCTTATGTTTGCCGGAAATGAAACCACCGCGAAAACAATGCTCTTTGCGGTTTACTTTCTTACCCACTGTCCTAAGGCCATGACCCAAATCATGGTACATAATAAAACCTCTTCAAATTGGTTCTTTGTTATGTTGATCTTCTGAAACATTATTCAAACGAGCAGGAGGAACACGAGAGGCTTGCGGGCGGAATGCTAACATGGCAAGATTACAAGACAATGGATTTCACTCAGTGCGTAAGTAAATCTTGAGGCCCAAGAGATTGCTCTGCTTCTCATCTCAGATGGTAAAAAACCTTAACTCTAAACTTTCTTGATTTCTCAACAGGTAATAGATGAAACACTCAGGCTGGGGGGAATTGCGATCTGGCTAATGAGAGAGGCGAAAGAAGATGTTTCATATCAAGGTACGCAAATAGCGTCTTTTAACTATTGGTACATGCACCAGAAACATGGTCTAAATATCAACAACACTCTCATTGGCTCTCTTCAGATTACGTAATCCCCAAGGGATGCTTCGTGGTTCCGTTTCTCTCGGCAGTGCACTTAGACGAGAGCTATTACAAGGAAAGTCTCTCCTTCGATCCATGGCGGTGGCTTGACCCTGAAACTCAGGTTTTTTTTTTTACTTCGTGTTTGACATTGAAGCATTACTTGCTAAACTCAACATCATATCAATTTGAAAGGTTAATATCAATTATTGTGAATGCAGCAAAAGAGGAATTGGAGAACGAGTTCTTTCTATTGCCCATTTGGTGGAGGAACTCGGTTTTGTCCAGGAGCAGAACTGGCTCGCCTTCAAATCGCTCTCTTTCTGCATTACTTCATCACCACATACAGGTCAGTACAATGTTCTGCTTATGGATTTTGTTTGTCTAAATCTTTCAAAGTTTGATTAATCCTTGTTGCATCTTTTAGGTGGACACAACTTAAGGAAGATCGCATCTCCTTCTTCCCTTCGGCTCGTCTAGTGAATGGATTCAAAATCCAGTTGAACAGACGGGACAACGATCCTCAACGTCAATAATGAACCAACAATCTCCACCTCTGTAGATCTCTGTATATTTAAACCAAGTGGATTTTTGTAACTCGAAATTTATATGCGCGTGTGTTAACTCAAAAGTCGCTCACATCTCATATGAGTACTCTATATAAAATAAACACTGTAGTAAAACCCAGAACATCTAACAAAACAAACCGTATGCTTTTTGCAATCATTTTCATTAGATTCTCTGTCTTCAAACTCCAACAAACCCGTTTGGTTTCGACAATTACAACAAGTGCAGGGCTAGATGGCAAAAGCTGTATTGAATCCTAAAGCTAAACTCTTTCGACATAAATATTGGAGACAAGAAAGCAAACCGCGAGAAGACAAAAAGGAGATAACACCCTATTCAGATTTCATCACTTCTCTTAGTCTTCTTCATCTGAACTCTCATACGCTAATCCCAACAAGCCTTTCAAAGCATTTTGACCTTGCCCATTGCTCTCCGTTCCTTTCCCGTCATTTTGGCCTGCTCCAGGTTGTTCCTCTGGTCTGTCCAGTTTCTTCAGCACCGTATTAGCTTTCTGCTTATCTCTGTGAACCTTTGCATCTGTTGGACCTCTGTCGCTTCTAAGAGGAGGTGATAAGCTAGGACTTGACGGTGTTGAGATTTTTGGGCGTTTCGGTTTAACCTCAACGACCTTTTTCAGTAAATCTTGTTGTCTGCATCGTAATAACACAAAGGTTCGTCACCGAGTTAAACCCAAGTTCATAGTGTGCAAACAAATTTAAGAAGGAAGAGGGAAGGATTCGCTACCTGATACCACTCTTTGGTTTGGGCTCAACACGAAGTGGCAAGGGAACAGATGCTGGAGATGAATCTGCTTGCGTTGCAGCTTTGTGATTTATGGTCAAGAAAGATCAAAAAAACGTTTCGGAAGGTATATTTAGTAACCTAAGTCTGGTGGCACAGTGATCGAAATCATGATTACTGAACACTAAACAATAAAGGATATTTTAAAGGCAGCAAAAGCCCGTTTCTCAGTTCGTCTCAGAAGACGTTCAGCATCCTCCTCTGCTTCCATCTGCTCTTTGAGATAAAGTAAATCGTCGCTGTCCAAAGCTACAAAACAAAACTCAAGAGTTATGGTCTTAAAACAATGTTATAGAGACAAGAAAAAAAGGATAACTTTTGGTACCGCCACGGCCATGAAGATAGCCTCCACGCTCACCAGCAACCTCTTGCATCTAAATGCAATAACCAAAACATTTGGCGGGGCCGTTATCCCTGCCGGGGCATGTTATCAGAAAAGTCGCGTTCCAAAATATAGAATCAAACACAATAACCACTTGATCAACAGACATCAAAAGCCAACAATGGTAAGAAAGACATCCTTAACTTCACTAGCTATACCAAAACAACCAGCTAAAAAACCACATATTGACCCAATGCTAGAGAAACCAAGAAACAAGAGCTTGATCGACTCAGTGAAAAATCAATTGAGCTGAACTTCTTTGGCCACATTTAATCAAGGCTACACACAGATGCCTAAAATAGATACAATTTGTGCACAATAGACTGTTTAGAAGAAGAAGAGGGCGACGAGCTAACCTTTGCAACCATACGTTGAAATGTGACGTCTTCGTCATCTATCTTACCCTTCCCTAATTTCTTATCTGCAACAAAAGATCCCGAAAACAACAGGAGCTTAATAGGGTTTCTCGAGAAATCTACAGAGTAACCAAATCAATTAGATGTCGCACCTTTAGGGTCGGACAGATTTGTGTATTCTTTAACTTCCCTCCCTGACATAGTGTCTTCTTTTCCCTTCGATTCTACTTTCGCTTAATCTAATTGTTCGTCTGCTTATAATATGAGCGGAAATAAATTCAGAGAAGATTAGGGTTCCTACGGTTTCTACGACCGGAGTCGAGGATGACGATTGAAGAAGGATGGAATCGGTAATAGCTCCCCAGCAAGATTGTTCTAGATGATGTGATTTTTTGTTTCGTTTTCTCAAATTGGGTTACTCTCAAGTCTCAACATATGGTATGGGCCTATTTTTAGGGCCAATATTACTCTCAGCCCAACACCCACTTTTTAACTGGAAAAATGTTAAGCTTTACTTGAAATCCCTTAAGAGGTTTTTTTTAATTGAAATTTCTTACTTTGAATGAATTTTCATTAATTTTAATTTAATTAAAAGGTTTAAAATAGATCAGAAGATACTTGAAGAGTTTTTTTTTCATTAAGATTAAGGAATAAGGATCACTCTTATGGAATATTGGAATTCATGATTACACCATATACATCATTAATAAAATAGTTTTACCATTTAAAATTATCTTCTAAACTCAAAAAAAAAAAAAAAATAAGTATGCTAAGGAAGGAGAAAGGAAAAATCATAAACTTTTGCAACACAGTACACCAGTAAGAAATTTATTTTGGATCTATTCAGTTTTAAATTCAGAACTCATAAGTCATTTATGAGTTTTTGTTTGTTAACAAAACAAAAGTTCTGACGTGTTAGCCTTAAGTTCGTTAATTTCAATAACTCACAATAGATGCCAGAGTTATCTGTTTACTTTTTGTTTGAACTACTTATTAAAAAGAAAAGAAGTCTAGTACTCTTAGACTGGTAACGTCAAGTATACTTTATTGGCATGGACCTAATTTAGATAGAAAGTACCTTTACTATATATTGATACATTATGATTATTAAGATTACATATATAAGGATCAACCCTACAAAAATTGAATCAAAAGTATAATACCAATATTTTGAAAACGAAATAGATTTGTATGTATTTGATAAATGATAATATAATAAACAAAAAGAAAACTATATAATAAACAAAAAGAAAACCGCACGTTTGATATGTAGATTTGGTCCAAAAGGAGGTTTTGAGACGTAACATGAATCTTCACCATACGGTTGATAGTATTAGATTTGGATCCAACTAGAGAGAGTGATGGGTTTTTTTTTGGGTCCGTACGAAAACAATTTCCTTTAAAAGCGAACCAACCAAAAAGAAATCGCATTTATAAATCTTTGTTGTTTCTTCTTTCTTTCTAACTTTCAAAAAGTCATCAACTTGTCAGATTTCATCACCTAACCTCTCTCTTTCTCTCTCTACACCCATAACAACATTTAGATCAGTCACCACACGCACTTTTGATCAAAACGCTAAGATATTTAAGAATCAGCTTAAGCAGAAAGAGAGAGGTAATGCTTCCGAGTCGAACAAAGTTTAATGCTTTAAGCAAAATAATAAGTAAAGAAAAAAAAGCTTTGCAATAGAAGTCAATGCCCGAACCATACAAAGAAAGTCAAAGTTGCATGGTGCGTTCTTGACTTCCAGTTTCTACCAAAACAATAGTAATAAAAAAAGACCCTAAAATTCTCATTAAAAACCCCAAAAATAAAAGAAAAAAACAAATGAAGAGAGAAGAATCCAGCTGGTTTTTTTAATGAGGGTTGTCCAAGAACAGCACCAACAGAAGCAGCAGAACAATTGGAGTTAATGTCTCTCTCTCTCTCTCTCTATCTCTCTGGCATTGAAGGCAAAGAAGAGTTAATTCCCTTCTCTGTTCCATCATTGAAGAGAAAGAGAGACCCAGAAGAGAGCAGAAGAGCTTTTAATGGCTTTTCAAGCTGTAGTTGAAGCACTAGGACAGTTGTTCAAAGCGGTTTTAATTTGGTGCACAGTGGTTCCAATCAGGTTATTAACCGTTTCCACCGACTCCATATTCAGTTTAGCCGACGGTAAATTGCTCACCATTATCTGAAAACCAACCGTTATCAACGATCCTCCTCCTCCAAAACCGCTTGATGATGATGACCGTCCTGAGCTCGTCGAGGCTCCTCCTCCTTGCTCAATGGTTCGGCTTCCGTCTGGTGAGATTGTGAAACCTGAGGACAAGAGAGGAATGTAGGAAGTATCTTCACCGCTCATTGCGATGTTCAGTGCTGCTAAATCCACCGGACTGTACACCACAAGTGCTCCTGATGAGTCTATTGAGCTTTCTTGTAGAATTAGCATGTTGTTACTCTGTGATGCATTCGATGCCTGATCCAAAAACAAGAAAACAAAATTTCATTAGAGCTAAGAAAACTGAGATTCTTGCAGGAATTTTGAAAAAAGAGATAGCTTTTTACACGTAGAACCGATACGCAGCATCCGGGATGTGATCCGTTTGCGATGTGAGCAACTTCTTGAACGGCGTTTCCATTTGAAAGAACATCCCACTAAGAAATACATAGTGACAAGTTAAAAACATACACTTTGGATGGTTTCTTTAGATATGAAGATTTTTGAATTTGTGTGTTTGTTACCTGAGGACGGGTTCTTTCGTCTTTGAGGAAATTGAAGACATTTTGAGGAGAGCTTGGGAGCCAGAAGGTGGTGGCTGCGCAGAGGATAGTGCCGTTTGGTTCAGGGCTCTTTTGTGCAGTCACACGGATTCCAACTTCGTTCAATTCCGCAACAACCGTTGAGCGAGTGTTGTTAGATCTGCTGACACTTAAGCAGTAGTTGCTAACCATTCTCTGAGCAAGTCTCATCATGCTTCTCTTCCCTTCCGGAGATGGAATCACTGAAAGTGTGCTAAAAAATGTTAAATGGGTTTCTCAAATATTAGATTAGCAATGGAAACTTCTGTTTACCTCCACCGAGATCACGGGATGATGTAGCTGGTGCCAATAAGGACGCAAATCTTTCACACATTCTCTGGAGAGTGGTGACCCATCGTTCAGCTCCAAAAGCAATCCCTTTGTGAATCATCTCTCTGTATAGCTCATGAGTCGGTTCTTTTTCTTCAGTTTCGACATGTTCAACCCACGTAACCTGTTTCAAAAATCATCAATAGATGCTACATGGAAACATCATGATTTAGTAGAAAGAGGAAAGAAGAAACTCAGAGTTAAACCTTGGAATATCCATTAGGCATGTCCTGAATCAAGCATCCAGATGGGAATCTGTAGGACTGAGAGTGGGAAACAGACTGAGGAAGATCATAGGAGACATTTACAACTATCCAGCTTCCTTGTTCAATCTGCTGACAATAGCGTAGCTCGCAGAACTCACGTGTTGCTACCAAAGGAGAAAGCACTTCCATTTCTTCATACAACTACATAGCCAAGCAAAGGTATCAAACATGAGGAAGTCCTAAATCCTTAATGAAACATCACAAATTAAGGAGAATTACTATCATTTCTTACCAAATGCAATGCACCCTCATGGGTTCCTCCCATTCCTGAAGATATCACTGCAAGTGTTTTAGACGCTGCAACGATCGAAGGAAATAGCTCTGCCCACTTGACCTGCCAAAACAAAATAAAAACTTTATAGGAAATGCAGCCACTTTTTGTGAAAAAATAAACATGATGATGGAGATGTCTTAAGCTACTTACACAATCCATGAACATGTCGACAAGTGCCATAGCATTCATGAAAACAATACCAGATGACCTAGATGCTTCGACTCGACGGTTATGGTTCTTCCCTCGGTTACTTGATCTTGGAAAAACATTATCATAGCTTCCAAGATTGAGAATGTCTCTGCAACCATCTGCTCTAGTCCACAGAGGTTCGTTTGAGTGAAGAAGCCTAAGCAACTCTTCCATAGCCGTCATAGCAATGTCGTTCATAAGAGGCTTATCCATCTCCGATATAGCCAAGTTAGGCTGAGAATGCAGATTATTAGGCACAGAAGCCATAGAACTTCCTGGAAGAAGATCAAAATCAAGTGAAGGACCTTGACCACAACCAGTTAAGCTAGTCATGGACAAATCCAACGGCGAGATGTGCATTGGATGTAGCGTTGAGAGTTGAGAGGATATTGGTCTTCCCATATACTTTGATGCAATGGTCGACATTCTTTCAAGCTGTGTCATGAAGATCAGATTAGAAATGAGGGGGCTTTTGAATCAAAAACCAAAATTTACTAAACAAAAACGAACCTCTTCTCTAAGATGTGCATTTTCAATCCGAAGCTTCTGCTCATCAAAGTAAGGATCTTCACTAACAGGAGGACCTCCACAGTTAGGACATATAGCATGCTTGAGAGCTTCTCTAATGGCTATGTTTTCGCATCGAATCTTATCATTCTCTGCCTTTAGTGCATTATTATCTGCTCTCTCATGTTGCGCCTGTAAACAAAAAAAAAAAAAAAACAGGACTCACAATCACAATCTCAAACAAAAATCAGTTCTTTTCTTATTCAGATAACATTTCAAACTCGAAAGAGAGAGAGAGACAGAACCTTAAGCTGAGTTCTTCTGTTCTGAAACCAGAACTTGATCTGTCTTGGAGCCAAACCCAATTCTCTGCTAAGTTGATTCCTCTGTTTATCATCTGGATGAGGACACTCCTTGAAACTCCTGCAAGGTCGATGGTTATGAGAGAAATCAACATATAAAAAAATTTCTCCAAGGGAGAAAAAGGTAGAGAAAAAAATTACGATTCGAGGCGTTGAATCTGTTGAGCGGTGTGACGATGGTAACGTTTCTTCTTCCTATCAGTTTCAGAGCCGTCGTGATGTTGGCTACCACCACCGTCTCCGCCGCTTCCACTCCCACTTCCGCCAACGCCGACGACGAAACTCATCTTTTTTTTTTTCTAAATGTCGAGACAAATAAGCAAACAGTAAACACTGTTTAATCTATGGCTAAAACAACTTTCTTTTCTCTTTTACTAGTTTCACCCAACCACAAACTGTTAATGGTCCATTTACACCACTGTCGCCATTAACACAGACCCAGAAGAGAAGAAAAACAAAAAAAGGTTTTTTTTTTTGCACCCACCAGAAAAAAAAAAAAAGAAGAAGAAGAGAGATTAAAAGAAAACGAAACGGAAGAGAATCTGAAGAAAGATGCAGAGGCGATGATTACGGGAGGTGAAAGGGTTTTGTTTTAGGCAAGAAATTATTGATTACAGAAAAGAATTTTGTTCACTCACACCCAAAAAATTCAGCTAAATAGAGGGGGAAAAAATGGGTTATTTAGCCGTAATTATGTCTCTTGTGGTTTATACAGTCTACAGAGCCCAACCTAGAAAGAGAAAATAGAGAGGGTAGTGATGATCTCTATTTGCTCTAAGCTTTCACCTCAAAGCCTCACCTAAAGCCGCCATTAGTGCTTTCTTTCTTTTCTCTCTTAACCCTTTTTTGCTTCTTCACATTCATTACAGATTCCAAAACTCTCTTTCTCTCTCCCAACCCTTTAGAAATTGCGTAACTGATGGGTTTTTAATGGACAAAAGGGAAAAAAAGGAGAGAGAAATGGGGGGTTTTAAAGTCTCTTGCTCTCTCCATTACTGCTAAGTACTACTCTCACCATACTCGGGGAAGAGAGAGAGAGGAGGACCGACCGAACCAACCTTCTTCTCTGTCTCTCTCTCCACAACTAACTCTCTCTCTCTCTCTCTTCGAGTTTACGAAAGAGACTTTTTAAGAGATGGGTTTGTCTCCGGCGAGAGTTAATCGACGGCGTTTGGATTAAAGCGGGGGACTTTATCCACTTTCTCCGGCGAGTTTCTCACGTCGTGTAATGACAAAAATTAACTTTTATTGGGGTTTTGTGCTGATTTCATCTTCTTCTCTCTTTTTTTCTTTTCTATTTTATTCTCAGTTTTTCTTACTTGGTCAAAATCTTATATAAGAAATAAATTATTATTGTTAATCTTTAAAAAGGGTAAAAGTGAGAGAAGCTGTAATAAGACATTTTTTGGAAATATATCGTATATTTTTTAATTTTTTTTCCCTCAAATCATCACTTATTATATAAACTGGAAATTAATAAGAAAAAGTGGATTTATATTTACTAAAACAGCATATTTTAAGAAGATGTAACAAACTTCTCTTAACCAAGGCTAAAATATTAATAAACTGGAGATAATAAGAAATCTGGCATCATAGTTTTGTACATTGACAAACAACTTATCTCCAGTCTCCACTGGAATTATAATCAGGCAGTCATAATTTAGACAAAACGCTAATCATAAAGTTTAATTTATTGGGATTACTGAGTACAATTAATGCGTGAACGTTGCACTAATTTATGGTTTTTCTATATAAAATAGATATATTATTGTGTGTTACCTGATTTAATCCATCTCCACTTAGCAACATCACACGTTATTCAATACATTGTCCAATTTTGGACTATTTAAATATTGAAATTTAAAATTTAAAATATCAACTTTTACAGCTTTAATATAAAATTAAAATTAGCTATTTTTTAGCCCTCTTTAAATATTATAATTTATTTTTATATTTTGGCTGAATACCTTTTTTTCCTTTTTGAGTCGTCTCGATGTCTTGGCTGTTTCCTACTCACACGCTCTTAACTCTCAACAGTTCGAAGTGTACATCCAAAAAGTCAAACTTGTTTTCCTCTGATACATAGAAAATAGAAAACTGTGGAAGAAAGAAATATGGTTGAAACTTGGAAACTTGACAACAATGTGAATTTAATATAAACTTTCGTTGACAAAAAGAATTTTAAGCGTTGGCTGGAAAATATAATAAAATGTTTATAACCTGATTAGGTTGACAAAGAAGAACAAAACTGATTATCACAAACAGATCTCAAAATTAAATTGTTTTGAGAATTATCTTATTGTGTTATCTTTTCATTATTGGATGATTATAGAAGCGTATCAGAGGTATTATAAATGCTATAAAGTGAAGTAAATATAAATCAATTGATGAACTAAAGATAGTGTAATGAATTTATCATTCACCAATCCTTTGGTATTGATTAGATAATCATTTAGGAAGAAAGTTATTTACATATTATCACTTTGGTCTTTAATTTACAACTCATGTGTGCCTTATTATAATCCTTAAATATTGGACATTAGTCTGAAAATAAAAGAAGCAATTAAATAGAGTCTTAAAAGAATTGATATAAATTTCCATCTTACCACATTTATTTTGGGACCTTGAATAAAGTGAAACTTCACATACCGTCTCTGCCTTCGTTTGCTCCATATAGCTATCCCAATTTAATTATCATATGGACCGATTCATTACTTTATTTATTATCTTAAGAAATTAATTCAAATGTATGTTCAACAATTTTTCGTTATTAATACATGCAGATAGTACATACACGTGTTATATAGAGTTGTCCAATGGAAAAGCCAAAACATTATAAAAATAAAATTCACAAATTTTTTAATCTCGACCATAGTTATATTAATTAACTTTACATCGATGGTAATATCATTCATTATAGATTTACAGCTTTTTGTATCCTCGATCCAAAGCAGAGTTTTAATCCTCTTGAGATGAGTTAGTACCAAAGAACCTCTGCTTCAAAATGTAGCAGATGTAGAGACAAACCACGACTGACCAAAACAAGTTTCGAACCGACGAAGCTCCTTGGTTATGTTGTTGTCCGTACGCAATCTTCATCTTGTCTAGCCTCTGTCTCTCTACCGAAGTTTCTAAAACTTTCTTCATCCTCTCTGATGCTTCAGCTGCAAGCAAACCCTCTCTCACTTCTCCTTCTCTGATCTTAACCTCATTATGTTCTTGACCATTTTTACTTTTCTGTTTCGCCTTTTCGGTTTCTGTAACTTCCTTCTGCTTACTTCCTCCTCCAAGAGATGTTGGTTTTTTGGGAAGGAGGTTACGGAGTGAAGCCAGTCTCAGAGGCATAGGTTTATCCTCCGGGATTGACACTTTCTTGGTCTACAAGAAAAGCATACAGATGTAAAGGTTAGTTTTTGTAGATATCAATAGTATTCTTCGGATCTAACAATGAATAATAATTAAAAAAACTCACCAATTGTTTGAACTGGAGATTGTAAAAGATTTCAATGTATCTCTGCTTCGCTTTCTTTTGATCTTCGTTCACCTGTCTCCAAAATCCATAAAGGCTTCCCATTTTCAACAATTTCTCTGCATAAATCTTCCATGTGTAGCTGCAAAAACGATTAATTTAAAACCCCACATAAATGTGACAAAGATTTGCAGATTTATGTTGTAAGATTTATATCTATACTTACCACTCGTAGATGCGTTTAAGAGCAGCCTTAGAGATATTATCCCAATACAAACCATCTGTACGGCATTTGCTGAAGAAATCTCCAATTCTGGTAACAGATTCATCACCATTGTTTGGATCAATGTGGAAACCAGAAACACCATCAACGATTATCTCCGCTGGTCCACCTTGATTTGTGGCGAACGTTGGGAGTCCACAGTTCATGGCTTCAATAACCGTTAAACCAAATGCTTCATACAAAGCAGGTTGCACAAATACTCCTTTTGTATCAGCAATGCATCGGTAGAGCTCACTGTTCCTGTATCTATCAGTTTGTGCAGCGATCCATCTGAATTTCCCCTTGAGCTTATATTTTTCAACTAGATCATGCATTTTCTTGATCTCAGCTTTTTCTTCTCTGTCATTAGATTTCGACATGTCGAAGAAACCAGCAACGACTACAAGGTTAGCCATCTCTCTTAGTCTCTTGTCCTTGCCATACCACTCAACCAAACCGGTTATGTTCTTAACCGTGTCAAGTCTCGCCATTGAGAAGATGATTGGTTTCTCTCTTTCCGCAAGATATCCCCTGTTTCCATACAGACAGCAGAATCAACAAGTGTTCGACTTGTTAACTAATTTCAATTGCAATGGACTATACTACTTACATGTGTTCGTCATTGTCTTTCTCATTGTAAAGCAGTTCTTGTATAGAAGGATGAAACTTGGTCAATCTTTTTTGCGTCTCTGTGTAAGGGAAGTATACAGATTGATCCGCACCAGGAGCAGCTATGTTAAACTTTGGATCAAACACATCAATACCAGAGACAACTCTACATAGACCAGGCATTGTGAAGGCAGTGTGACTCTCATACTGTCCTGGCCTTTCCTTGCTGCAAAACCAAACCGCGCAGATTGTAGTTTTATTATGAGTTTGGAATCTTAATGTGTTTATATATGTTAGTGCTGTAACATTGCAAAAAGAAAACGAACCTTCCTGCGATTTCTTGATATGTGCTGGTAATGATGAAGTCAGTGACATTCATTGCGATTAAATCAGCTGTGAATTGGCAAGAGAAATGGTATTTTGGATCTAATTCTTTCCACTTTGCATCTGAATCTTCATACTTTGTCTTCTCCAACGCATGAGCAATGGTTCCCTGAGTAACACCGAGTTTGGAGGCCATTAGAGATGCAACCAAGTTCCCATCTGTGTAGTTTCCGATGATGAGGTCAGGCTTGCACTCGAAGCGTTGGAGAATCTTGCTCGTTGCGTCCTGTAAATAAGAAAAGTTAAAGGAGGGGTTTTAGCTTTCTTTTGTTGTTGAGAAAACAAGAAGATACTTCTACCTGAGAACGATGAATAAATTTAGTTACCTGAGTAAATCTCTCCAGGTAAGGGTAGATATCGAATCGAGAAACCCATTGACGAAGGATTCCTTTTTCTGTAACAAAAGGAACCCTGAGAATATGAGAATGCTTGGTTCCTTCAATGGCTTCTAGTTCTTGATCACACTTTGTTCCTCTTGCTTCAGGTATTAACCGTGTCACCACAAGAATCTGAGGCTTGAATCCGAGGCCTTGTTGGTTAATTCGGCTGAGCATCTCTTCCTCCAAAGCTCTTACTTGGTCCAGAATGTACACAACCTATATATGATCATGATCACACACGAAGGGTTTAATAAAAACCAGAAAATTTGCAGGTGATGAAATAAAACTGAAGTTTTTTTATTTTACGCAATTACCTGGCCTCCAGTATCTGGTAATCCAAGCACGTCTTGTTGACCAAAATAGCCATGGACAGAGAATATCACAACGTTGAACACTGTGGGCAGTCTGCTAAAGAGCAAATCTAGCTTCACACTGTCTGGTGCTTCAAGAATTTCTGAGAGCATAACCATCATTTCTTTTACTCTCTCTGATGTATTTCCCCAACCTTTCTCGAATCCCAGTTCCTTCAACCTAAAGAAAGTAAGTTTTCAATCAGATCCTTGTTCTAAACCTCATACATGTCTAAACATGATTCAGTGTTTTTTTTTCTTAATTTAAAAAAAGACCTTTGTGCAAAAGTTTCATAAGGCGTGTGTTTTGGGTAAGTCGAGACTACAATCACAGCAAGCATTAGAGATTTCTGGAGCTTCGCAACTGTGTTGAGATCATCATTGATCATGAGATTCTGCATACATAAAATCACCATAAATGAGTTATAAAAGTTGTAAGAATATCAATGAAAATGGAAACAAGAAGATGATAGAATCATGACCTCTCCATGATGATTAAGGTGGAGCAAGTAGTTCAACAAAGGCTCTAGTCTACTGCTGGATTGGCCTCCAAGCTTAGAAGATATAAACTTAGAGATGTAATCAGCTCCATTTCCAATCGAAGAAGAAAGATTAAGCCGAGGAGTCGTGAAATCAATCGCTCCAAAGTCTATTTCCAATGCATTTTCATCCTTAGCCCTACAAAACATTTGAGAATAAAAAAAGATTACACCAGATGATGAATATTTCTCTGATTATTTGCCAAAACACCCTTACGTAGATCTTTACTAACCAGGATTCATCGAAAACAGATTCCTTGAGCTTTAAGTAATCCGTGGCTGTGATTTCATCCACTGATAGATCTCCAGAGTTAACCTTAACATATTCCCAGAAACCAGGATTTGGCCTCGCGGCTAATGCAACAAACGGTGGAACCACTGCCGCCTCCTGAGTAGTTTTAACAGAGAAAATTACGCATAAACACACAACTAACTAAACCGTATTGTCTTATTTGCAAATGGTAGTTACTAATGAAGATTATCTATTACCTGAGTACAAGTGAGAATGTAACCAAACAGTCCTTCCAGGATCTTCTTGCGTTCACGGCTATCTTCTATACATTTCTCTATCTCACTCATCAGATTCTCACGCTTCATTAGCTTCTTTCCTCCTTTAACGAAGCTACAAAATATTTTCACATACAAATATATAAGGAATCCAAAATGTAGCAAAAGAAACAAAAAAAAAAAACTAAAGCAAAAGTGTGATTCTGAAAGTTTGAAAAACCTGGCAAAACATCTCTTCATATGGTACCGGCTTTGTTTCAATGCATCAGGCATTTTGTCAGCAATGGAATCCGATCTTTGAAGCGTAGTTGGAGATGATGAAGAGGCCATTTGTTTTCTTTTTTTTTTTTTTTATGATTACAGAAACAACAAAAGATCAAACTCTCCACAGAATATTGAAATGATTGAGATGAAGTAGATTGCTGAAACTAGGGAATAATCACAATGTATTTATAGATACACCTTAAGATAATGAATATGCTGTGAAGGGGACAGGGTAGAAGCCTAGAAGGAGAAAGAAGGAGGAGAAGATTATTCGTTAGAAATAAAAGTTGGAAAAGCTAAGTGTGCAAGTAAACAAAAAAGAATATGCGTGATTTTTTTTTTGGCTGAAGCAAAATCAGATTTTGTACCTCTTGCCTTTCTTGGGGTTCATGTGAAAATAACATAAAAGGTATGAAAGTTTGTTTATTATTTTCATCCGGTTCGCGCAATTATACCAAATTAAGAATCAAGTGTTTTTTTCCAATTTGTTAAAAAATTGAAAAAATAAAAACAAAAAGAATCTAAGCCTTACTCTAAGCTCTTAGTGCTAACTGCAAACCAACCAACACTTCATACTAACTGCAAAACGAGCCATTGAGACAACTATTAAAGATTTATCACAACTAGATTAATGGGATTCTAGTTACACTGCTTTATGGATAATTTGTTGGGCATTTTTTAGTTATACATACGTACCGGGATATGAAAAGCGGGCGGGAACACATACCGGATACCGGACCAAAATCGGTTTCCTAGCTATCCAAACCGGGTTATTCATTCATATACTGATTTTGAGCCGGTTTAGACTCTTTCGTTAGTGTCTCACTGTCTCGGAGCTCTGTGGACTGTAACGACGCTTTCCCGGTTAGCAGAAGCAAGAAATCGCCGAAGAAGACGACGGTGATGGCCATGGCGATCGGGGAGATAGAAACAGCGAAGAAGAGATGTGAATCGGTTATAAAGACAATCGAGCAGCTTCCTTTATCAACTGCCATCACTGCCTCATGCCGTCGAACTCTTCTTAAGCTCGCTTCCTCCGAGCTCTCCTTCCTCTCCTCACTCGTTACCGATCCCTCTCCACAGCCTCTCAGGTTATCTGTTTCTCTCACTCACTCAATCTTTCTCGTTCGCTCGTTCTGATTTTGACTTTGGCTTTTTTCGCAATCTGTCAGTGTCAACATTGGCCACATTGAATCAGTCGTGCGGATCTTGCAGCTGCCGTCCATCACCGGCGTTTCGCGCGTTTGCAAGCCGCTTCCTCTTCCGATTGGTAGCGTTCATGTCGATCTCGTCTGTACTCTCGGAAAGGCTCCTGTATGGATCATCGTCTCCGATAGAAACCCTAGGTACATCTCCTGGAATGGAGACCGCCATGGAGGCAAGGGTTTGAGGTCAAGGATTGAGCATGTCCTCGCCGCTGCTCATTCCACAACGACGCTTAAACCTTCTTCGCTGATTCTCTTCTTTGCCAATGGTCTGCCTTCCTCAATTTACGAGAAATTAAAAGAAGAATTTGGGGCTGTGAGTTTCGACTTGGGCTTGGATTCGGATACTTCAATGCTCGATTTCGATTGCGAGGAAACGATGGAAGGAGATTGGGTTGTTGTTGTTGGAAGCAGATCGTATAAAGAAGCAATTTCTGTTGAGATCAAGCTCATCATAGATGAATGCGATTCTCTTGCATTCCCTGAACCTGAGGTTGTTGTTGAAGCAGAGGTGAGCCAAAATGATGGTTTCTCTCGTGTAATCTCTTCCTTGAGATTGCAAGGTGAAGATTGTCTCATAAATTTCGACACTACTGCTCTGGTTGCTCTCGTTTCTGGAATCACCAACGGATGTGCAGAGAGAATCGTGGATATGCCTCAGATCGAATTAGAGCAAAAGTTCAAAGGAAATACCGTTTTTGTGATTGCTCAGGTACCCTATTAAGAGAACAAAATCAAAATCACCATCTTTAGTCAGTCTATCTCTTTTGTGAAATCGACTATTACGTGCAGGCAGAATCTGAAATTGAGAAGCCAGTTCTTGTCAAAATGGCAACTTTATTATCAGGGAAGCGAGGGATTGTGTGCAAGAGTGTTCTTTCAGAGTTCAAGGAGTTGGTATCCATGTATGCTGGACCCAATGAGAAACACAGAGCTGAGCACTTGTTAAAGAGCCTAATGTAATTGGCAAAAACAAAAATATCAGAATCAGATTATGCTCTGTATCAACAGAGAAACTCAAAAGCTCAATACTGATTATAATTGTGATTGGTGACAGGGTGGTGAATGACAATCCCACAGAGCGTGTGATGGGACTCCCAACGACGAGGAAGTTAGCAATGAAGAACAAGACTGTGTTTGGTACAGGTGATAGATGGGGAGCCCCGACATTGACTGCAAACATGGCGTTTGTCAGAGCCGTGGCTCAGTCAGGCATGTCTCTCTCCACCATCGACCATAGCCCTCGAGCTCTCACTGGTGATTAAGCCAAAGTTCAACTTCTACCTACGTATCTGTAATTTTGTAAGTTCTGAAGACCAAACCTTGTACGAGGGAAAACAAATTCAAAAGGCAGAAGTACCATACTTTTGGTCTAGTGTATAGATGTTTACCGAGTAATACTAGTGAAGGCGGAACAAAAAACGAATCCTTTTTACCAAAAGAATAGAATTTTATTGCACTAACCACAAACATACAGAATACGAACAACATCTTTCCTTAATTTTTTCTGGGAACTAATCCAAATCCAATTTGGTAGTTTTCACACACAAGAAGCTTTCTATAAATTATTGACATTTGGAGAATTACAAGAGTAGTTATAGAGCTATACCATTTGTATTTCTATGGCGCCCACTGGCTTTGAACTCTATAAGGTAATATGCACTCTATCCACTGCTCTATCTTTGGTTGCCCGTAATGTGATTTGATGTGTTTTTAGTCCGTAGATTGTCTTCAGACCATGACGCATCTACCGAAGGAAGTTGGTACTCATCGGGTTTCAATGCCAAGGCAAAATCAGGAAGCGTTGGTGCCGTCTCCATGATTCTATAGTTCAGCATAAATGGACAACAAAAAGATTGATGAGCATACAATAGCAAAAGACGAGAGAAGACTAAACGAACTCTTCACAACTGAAACTCACTTCTCATATGAGTATAGATCTCGGTTTATCCTGACTTTACTTGAAGTGTCTTTCGGTATTTTCTCTGATAGATACTTCATTGTCCCGAAGAGTGGTGGAGTCCTGAAAGAATGTGGATGGATATTAATGACTGACAGATAGATAGATTCAGGTGATCCATTCACAAGGGCAGAGAAGAGGGATTTGCCTTGACGTGGGAGAAGAAGCATTAAACGCCTCACTAGCTTTCTTACTTTCTTTAAAACACTCATCTGCAGCCTGTAAGGCAGCAACCGCCATGCCATGTGATTTCTCTGTGTTTCCTTCATCAAGAATCAAGCCATGGTAGTAGTAAGCTGCAGCCTGGTATAACAAATATACACAGAGATACCAAGTGTCTTAGTATAAATAGAAGACGAAAACTGAAGCCTTCTACAGATAAACCAGAGTTTCTCATTCATCTGTGTGAACTCTAAAGATCTAATGATTATAATGATGTCCAAACTCTACCTTAGCTTCAACATATTTCCACTTGACAAAGAGCCTATGCTTTTCTCCCCAGCCATTTGCTAATGGAAGATTCATCAAGTTATCCTGTGCCTGATCAATGTTCATCAAGAAGTGTTAGAAAGCTTTCAACCCGAGAAACGCATCGTCAATTTTTAAACCGCAAAAAAACAAAAGAAAGCCTATCAATTCTTCAATGAGCCTCTCAGAAAAGTGGAGGCAAAAGTAGTAACTAAAGCAGTAGAGAATGGATTAGTGGTCACTATTAATGGTGATATTTCGTAATTTCTGATATAACTTAGTAAGCAACTTTAGTCCTATTTTCCCCCTCAAACATGGGTGATCAGCAGGCACAAGTTAGTGACACTTTTATGATGGTGAAATGACCACTTTCTTCTTTTTGTTCTTCCATTTAGTATTTGTTGTTTTTTCTCCCATTAATCTAAGTGGATAATACACACTACTCCCATTAACAACTAATCTATCTACTTCATTATAATAATGAAAACAAATATGAAATGATTACCTGCTGCCAATATTTCACCATTTCACATGAAAGTCTTCGTTTCACTGCGAGAGTGGCTTTTGCGCTATCAATCGCCATCCCAAGTTGGATATCAACACCCTAAATCAGAAACGCAAAGATTATAGACCTTAAAAGAGAGAAGTGAAAATGCTATCAAAAATGCTCAAAAGTACCTATCTAAGGTACTACTTCTAACCTAGGCTCACGAAAACTATTGTTCACAAATAAAGTAGGTAACTATTTCTAACCTAGGCTAACGAAAACTTTTGTTCCCAAATAATGTAGGAAACACATATAGCACATCATAAGTAGATAAATATATTCCAACAAAAAGAAGTTTCTACCTGGCCTAAAGCTTGCAAGCAAAGAGCCCGTAGAGCTCCTTCTGCAAGGTCAACAGGTAAACTTCTCCTGTAGAAAAGGAGGAAAAAAAAACACGAGCCATGAGTAGGGTTGGTCAGAAGTATCAACAATTATAATGGTTGACATTAGAAACTTTGTCATTTGTGAACCTTAGCTCGGCTGAAAACTGAGGGAGTACATGCTTGACAGCACAGTCAAGGTATCCAGCTGCCTTTAAGAAGATATCAATTGAAGCTCGTCTATTTTCTGTAACAGATTGAAACAAGCATAACGTTAATCCTTTAATCAGTTGGTGGAAGACACAACACATATCACGGATTCATTTCTGGAGAACAATGTGGTGCTTATAAATTTTTCAAGAAGATGTGAAGAGGAACCGAAATCATAACGAGAAATAACCACGATGATGAGTATTTTTGGTCACAGAACTGAACAAATATGAGCAATTTTGAAGGTCTAACCTTCTGATACTTTTGGATGGTAGCCATCAGTGGAACCTCTAGGAAGAAGCAGTAAATTCGCTTGAGACATTTGTAGCATTGCCATTAGATGCAAAATCGACAATATTTCATACCAAACGTTTGACATGGCTGTTTCCTGGTAAAGGTAAATAATCTTGTCATATACTCAACATCCTTCAGTATAAAAGTCAAAAATTTTAAGTAAAGTAACGATCAAAACAGCACAGTTAGAGATAAATTGCTTTCATTAACACACCTCTTCCTCATCCTCCTGATTTACCCAGCTAAACTCTACTTTGAATTGTAAATGGCTACCTGAAACAATAAACGAATGCATTTCAGAATATATAGAACCAAACAGATCTCGATTCTGTAGCACATCAATGGTATTATACCATCTTTAGTTAAGCCTAAGAGAACAGGTAGGTAATCTTCCAAAGCCTGATGGAGATCGGCGAGCGTTGAACCTCCTGCAAGAAACAATTTTCTTAAGTTTGAAGAAGGAAAGCAGGGAAAAGAGAAAAGAGGAGTAACAGACAATGATATTCTCACATACCATGTTGTGTCTTCCTCCTAGTTCTTGTTATCGTTGGTCCTTCTTGATTTGCCATCACAACTATTCGCGTTCTTAAAGCTGTCAGACGCTCCACAAGAGTCTTGGGAAATTGATCACCCAGTGACTGAGAAAACTCCACAGGCTTGGGTATCCTTAAACCGGGTACATATACTGAAACGTCCCCTATGCTCGTTGGCTTTCTTCTGTTTCCACCAGAGTCCTTCGGCCTTGATGCAAAGCATCCCATTTCTAGAGCTTAACAAATCTACAATCCCAAAGATAATGATATAAACAGAGATTAAACTTGAAAAGAATTCTCACATCCCCCTAAGACTGACCAAATTTGATCTGTGTAGATGAGCTGATCAAGCTAAAAGACAATAGGATGATAATCCTACATCGAACACGGTATACACGGAGACAAAACTAATTGATATCCAACTAAACACAGCCCAACTCCATTCTCGTCCACTAAATTCACAGATAAAGTTAAACTAGCTCACGAGCCATCTGCCATACGACAATCTTCATAATTCTACGTTACCAGAAAATTGAGAACTAAACTATTTTTAGACCAATGTCCAAGGAGAAAGTAGAAACAAACAAGCAAATGACACCATCAGATAGACGTGGTTTTCGAAAACCGAAAACAAGAGAGAGTTTTGGTTTTCTCACCTACCTCTTGACGTTTATCGGATTTATTGGCTAAAAGACATATAATTCAAGTGATTGCTGCAAGAAAAAGAGACTTAATCAGCGAAAAAAACATGTGACTCACAGAGAAAGCATGAAACTTTCAAATGTTCTGTTCACAATTTATCCACTGAACGAATCAAAAAGCTAAACGAAATCCTGGAAAGAGGCAAACAAAACCCATTAAAAAGGAGGATTTTCCTAGGTCTAGGAAGCAACTTGAGATGAAAAAAAGAAGATTTTGAGTGAAGGGTCGTCAATGCTAGATTAATATATGAAAGAAATGAAAAAGATACAAAGAGAAAGTGATGGTTTATTGCGCCAAGAAACCTCGAAGCTGATTTAAACCATAAACTTCAATCCATGAAAAAAATAAAAACCTTAAGCAACATTTCCCCATGGAACCATAGCCAAAGTAGGAGTCTACCAAATCTGGGTTTTATCAGACTCGAATTAGAATCCGGACAACCAACTACAAACCTCAAAACCCTGATTCTAGACCCTGAGTATGAATCCAAGAGATTTTGAATCTGAAAATTCGAGTAATAAAACAATTACCATCAAAGACCCTACGAAGAAAAATGCTCCTGCTCTTTCCTCATAGGCAGATATTGCGAAATGGAAACAAGAGAGATGTATATGGCGCTCGATTTGAGAATCGAAATGGTGAATCCTGGGTCGAGGATATGAAGCTATAGTTAGAGGATGGGGAGGGCATAGGAAGCAGAGGATGATGATGAAAATGAGAGAACTTGAGGGTGAAGAAGAAGACTTGAGGGCACCAATTTCAACTTTATGAAGAGAATTATTAATGCTCTTTCGACTTTCGAATACCTCTCCCCTACCCAGTACGGCCTGCTCATCAGATTATTAAAAATTGTTGAAAAGGTTGGATTATATTAAACATTTTTTTTTTTACGTAAAAGAAGGATTTGGTTAAAGATTTTAGAAAGACCTAACTTTTTCACAAAAACAATAATAATAAACGTAAGTTTTGTCTCATTTAAAAATGTTAGTCTTTCTTCAAAATTTTGGTTATCGAAATCATTCACGTCTATTTTTTTTTTAACATCAATCATACACGTCTAATATGCGAGATCAGTATAATAGAAACGGTCAAGTTTAGTCAAGATGACGAGATATTTTACGAAAATGCTTAAACGCTCGAGTTAAAAGAAATTCGATTCTTTATTCAAAAAAAAAAAGAATTTTGAAATAAATTTCATTGATAAATCATGCACAAGAGATAATACGCATAATTTAATTAGACTGTTTTGGAGATTATCTTGTTTAGTAAAGTGCATTTTGTTTCCTCTTTAGAATACTAAAAAAATGATTATTGGATTCCTTTAAAATGATGGTTAATAAGAGTGATGTTTATAAGAGGATACATTAGTCGAGTATGGATATGGTACCCTAAACATGTGGTGTTTAGTTCATCGATATGTTAGTCGTCTTATGCATGAACCACATGTGAAGTAGCCAGGCGCATATAGATTATAGTCCTCTTATTACATATATAGCATCAGAGTTTGAGGTTTGCTACGTAGGCGTAAGTGCCTTAAGTGTCCGCACGTGATGTGTCCCTTCACTTCACAGACTGGTACGGGCCGGGAGATCAAGTTTCGTGAGATCTTTCGCAAGTCATGGATCCACTATCACACTACGACTAACGCCTAACGGTGCTTAAAGCTGAAATTATCCTATATTATTAGCTAGTTGCCAATATCATTAACTGCAAGTTTTTGATATATTAATTCATAAGGTTGAAAAAGATCTAGTAGGTGTTTATTTTGAAAAAAAGGAGTAATGTATATATCAAAAACTTAATTACAAAAAGTCGGTGATTATTTTTTTTTACGAGCATGTACGAACCGAAAAGACAAACTACCTATATTTTCAAGGTAGTATAAGAAAATAATCTTAACTATAAATAAATGTGTATGGAGGACGATGTCCACCAATACCAATACTTATCCTACAACATGCATACGCATGGACATGGTTGGTTTCCATGTTTCTATATTATTTAAAATCGAAAACTCCTTTGGCACCATCCTCTCAGGAGTCAGAATCATACAAATAATTTAAAGTTTTGTTTTTTTTAATACTTTTCTTTTAAAAAAATAGATGATATACTTGTATAGTCAAGTGCTTCGTACGTTACGCTTTAATTTGAATATGCAATATATATTCTTACATGCTACGAATGGATCAACTTGGACTATTTATACTTAAGTACATTCGGCTTAAACCAAATAAATACGTGCTACAACATGACATCAAACGACCGTCACTTTCTAAACTATCATTGAATTTTTAAGATCTTTTGGTTACAAACACCAAAATAATGAGTCAGAAGACAAAATCCACCGGCCGAAGTACATAAGCATCTCAGGTCCACGTTTGTTCAAATCTCCAATAAAGTCAATATATTTTCTCACACAGAAAATAACATTAATTTTTGTGTTTTGGTGATTAATGGAAATATCGGTGATGTCACATACAGTCCACGTGGCGGCAATGTTAAGCATGTGACGTTGCTACTATTATTTTGGTTGCGGTCGAAAATACTAAGGACGATACGCAAGAAGATATTTATGGAAACCGTGAAAGACACGTGTGCAGGTTCATGAATCGGTTTCGGTTAGGAGATCACGACTGTCTCACCGTCCCAACGGTCATGTAATCAAATCAACTCAATTTAAAAAGGTAGCACTGCGTTTGGTGACGACACGTGTCTTCAATCATTCTGTTATATACTGTTCGTCGATGTTACCCACTTGTTAATGCTATCTTTCTTTTTTTTTCGTTTCGTCTACGACTTTCTTTCCTTTTATAGAAACCTGACTTGTTTTGTAGATTTTAACAAAACAAAAAGACATACTATTTATTATTCTAGCGTTTAAGTAAACATACATAGAGATATTTAACCCTAAGTTTATTTAGTTTGGTTTGTATACACTTAATTTGGTTTAGAAAAGGTATTAAAGAAAAATGCAGTTGTATCTAGTATAAATTCATATGATACAATTTTTTTTTATAAAATACATTAAATTTTGGTTTAGTGTCTTTTCACAACAATTTTTATTTATTTATCTAATCTTCAAACAACTACCTCAAAATTATTCGATCAATCCACATAAATTTTTATATATAGTTAATTTTAAAGTATATAATCTAATTTTCCATAAAATAAATTTTGAAAACTAAAACTATATCGATTTTAAAATATGCGGTTTCTGGTCAATTAACCCAAATTTTAAATCGGATTTTCATTTACAGATCTTAACAAATACATACAAAACTAATAAAATCATGCCTAATGTTTATGATGTCTTTGAGATTTTTGGAATCAAACCAGCCATTTCAAAAATGCTGAAAAAGTATTTTCAAATCAAATCACTCAATTCATCCAAATCCTCTTAGATATTATGAGACATTGTGAACCGGCAACAAGATCAACAGATTTCAAACAAAAGTTAAAACAAAATAAAACCTAGCATTTTAGATCGACATCGAGAATAAACCAAACCATTTGGATAGAAATCGCTAAGAAACTTAACATGAAATTGATTAATGATCGAACAAACATAACAAACAAAACATAATTGTTAAATAGAAGTGATTTGACAAAAAAACCAACACAAAATCTAATATCTGAGTAAATAAAAAAAAATTCTCAAATATGTATTTGTTTTTTTTTTCTCAAGACGAACTCTAGGAAATCTGGGTTGATATATGCAATGATGCTAACCAGAATCGCCCAAACTACACTAAGATTTTTCAATGGCCACTTGAGAAGACCAGTGATTTTTTTTAATAAAAAGAAAATAAATTAGCACTTGTTAGCCATGTTCAAAAAAGAGTTAGGCATTAGTTGAGCGGTGGAAATCCGCTTAACGCCTAGAATAAAAATTAGAGATTAATTTGAAATTAATTTAAGATTAGTTTTTATATTTATTTTAATTTTTTTAATATTTATTCATTTTTATGATTAATTTTGTTATATTAGAATATATATATACGTGCATATAATAGTAGACTTAGAAGTAATATTAGTGTGTTGAAGACCCATACTTAATTCAGGCCCATAAATTTCATGACATTTTTTTAAAAAGAGGTCTTTTGGATTGTCCCACATCGACAAACTTAAATTGAGAAGGGGAAGCAGCACTATAAATAAAAGTCTTCATCTCCGTAGTAAGTAAATATTATCTGTACAAAATTGTGGGCCAATATCAGCGATACATTCCAGTTGGGCCTGTATTTGCGTTCTAATATTTTTACAAGTCTCTGATATTATAAATAAAACACCGATTTTCTTAAAAATTCGGTTTTAGGCGATAGAAATCGGTTATCCGCTTAAGCTGACCGAGTTGCCTAAATTCGCGGCGGCTTGCTTCCAATCAGCGCCTAGTCGGCCGATTATTTGAACACAGAATAAAATAACAAAAAAACATGTCATTTTTTAGTCGTGTAACGGAGATTAACTAAAAGGCCCCAACAGAAAGAGTCCATTAAAAAATTTCAAAGCCTCGTCTCTCCATCACCGTCTCCTTCCTCCTTTCTCTCTCAGTCTCTTTCGCTGTAGCACTCACGAAGGGTTTATCTCCCAGTGAGTTTTTGATGATGCGAAAGCTGGTGGTCTCCTGTTTTCTCCGTTCTAGATCCTCCTTGCATCTATCAACACCACCACCTGAAAGGTCCGTGCTTTTCTCTCTTCTGGGTTCTTCTATCAAAACCGGAAACATCTCTCCTCAAATTAGCTATTCGAGGAATTCATTCTGTTCTACGACTTTGTTAAACCCATCAATTGAAATCACCCGTATAAAAAGTGTTTCAGAAGATCAATCACTATCCTATCACAAGGGAAATGATATTAGAACAACGGGTTCTAATCATGTGGTTGGAATCCTCCACGAAGCAATAATGGTGAATCTGAATGCGTTTGATGATATGGAGAAAGCCCTTGATGAATCCGGCGTCGATCTGACAACTCCGGTGGTATGCAAGATCTTACAAAGGCTTCAATACGAGGAAAAAACGGCTTTTCGGTTCTTCACTTGGGCTGGACACCAAGAACATTACTCACACGAGCCTTCTACTTACAATGAGATGATTGATATATTGTCAAGCACCAAGTACAAGACCAAGCAGTTTAGGATTGTGATTGATATGTTGGATTACATGAAGAGAAACAACAAAACCTCTGTTCCAACGGATCTTCTGCTGGAGATTCTCAGAAAGTACTGCGAGAGGTACCTGACTCATGTGCAGAAATTCGCCAAGAGGAAACGGATCAGAGTGAAGACGCAGCCGGAGATTAATGCTTTCAATATGCTTCTTGATGCTCTGTGCAAGTGTGGTCTTGTCAAGGATGCTGAAGCTTTGCTTAAAAGGATGAGGCACAAAGTTAAACCTGATGCGAATACATTCAATGTCTTGTTCTTTGGGTGCTGCAGAGTCAGAGACCCGAAAAAGGCTATGAAGCTACTCGAAGAGATGATACAAGCCGGTCATAAGCCGGAAAATTTCACATACTGTGCTGCTATTGACGCCTTTTGCCAAGCTGGAATGGTGGATGATGCGGCTGAGTTGTTCGAGTTCATGATGACCAAAGGCTCTACGGTTTCTGCTCCAACAGCAAAGACTTTTGCTTTGATGATTGTGGCTCTGGCAAGGAATGATAAATCAGAGGAATGCTTTGAGCTTATCGGGCGTATGATAAGCACGGGTTGTCTTCCCGATGTGTCAACGTACAAAGAAGTGATTGAAGGTATGTGTACGGCTGGAAAAGTTGAGGAAGCGTACAAGTTCTTGGATGAGATGAGCAATAAAGGTTACCCTCCTGATATAGTCACTTACAATTGCTTTCTTAGGGTACTGTGTGAGAGTAGAAAGAGCGATGAAGCACTTAAACTCTATGGGAGAATGATTGAGACGCGTTGTGCTCCTAGCGTCCAAACATACAACATGTTGATATCTATGTTTTTCGAAATGGATGATCCTGATGCAGCATTCAATACATGGAAAGAAATGGACGAAAGAGGCTGTGGTCAGGACATTGAGACCTACTGTGCTATGATCAATGGGCTTTTCGACTGTCACAGAGGTAAAGAGGCGTGTTTTCTTCTGGATGAGGTTGTGGATAAAGGAACGAAGCTGCCTTATCGAGCCTTTGACTCTTTTTTGATGCGCCTGTCTGAGGTTGGTAACCTCAAGGCAATCCAAAAGCTTTCTGAGCATATGAAGAAGTTTTACAATCATAGTATGGCTAGACGTTTTGCACTTGGTGAGAAGAGAAAAAGTACAAAGCTGAGAGGGAAGTAATGGGCAATGATTTTCTGGACCAAGAATCATTTGTCTCAGAAGCAAAGAGACCTATCAAATGGTTAAGCTGGTGTCTTTGGGGATGCTTTCACAGCACATCGTATGTTCTGAAGTTATTGTATTGACTATTGTGTACATAGAGCATTATGTTTTGTATGATCGTTAATAGATGTGAGAGCTCTGCTTTCTTCATGATTCATAATTATCAACTTCTGTTTTTCTGAATTCTGAATGTCGTGACTTTTAATTTTAGTTTTATTTTGATGTGAGATTCTTACCGATCTGGTATGCTGCCGGTTAAGTCCGGTTTAGTAGTATGAGTCTTTGTCGAAGAAATTGTGATAGGTTCGAGTCTGAAGAAGGCTTCTCTCCTAACTACCAATAGAACAAAGGAAGTTGGTTATGGCTCCCTTCCCAACTAACTTGTATCTTCTTTATTTATTTTTCCTACTTAACTTTACCAGCAATTATTTTCGGTTTTGTTTTAAAGAAATAAATATATAAGACAAATGGGAGAGATGTTCGAATAATCCCACGGAACAATCAATGGAACAGACATTCTGTTTTTTTTTTAAGTCCTAATAACTCCTGAAAGTACGAAACCTATAAAGTTCCGTTTTGGACAAGAGAAAAGCTAATGACGTGCTTGAAGACCAAATATTTGACCAATTCTATTGCTATTTTTATGCCTAAAATCTTTGACCACATAATACGCGAATGTAATTGTCAGTGTATTTTTGGATAAAAATTGCTTACTAATGAATGAGTTTATGCCATCACCTCTATAACCGGACCTCTGATTTATTTAAATTTTATTTAGCAAAGTGTGAAATTTATTGAATATGCATGAACGAGGGTTAAGGATGAGAAAATGGTGCGATCATAGCAATAAAATATAGCGAATGCATAATGTTTTTCAATTTTGCGGGTCCAAAGCGGAATTATGTATTTAGTACTCCAATTATATAACTAAAGCGGAATTATGTGAAATTGTGAATAGTCGAACTTTTTTTTATTACATCTATTACTTTAAACAGTCGATTAATCATCATTCTTTTGATTCTTTATACTATAAGAAAACAAGTTTACTTATCCGATAATCCCCTCGTATAATCACCGTTAGTTGAATTAATTAAGGCTTCGGTGTTAAAAAGCTGAATTAACTTAGCTGAAAAAAGGTTAGTTGTATGGTGTCCACGTCGTCATATATAGTTCGAATTAAGCTTTGGTTAATTAGGTCTGAAAGGTTATCAGAACCTATCCATCAATATTTATATATGACCTGCCATTTAACCAGAAGTCCACAACATTGTTACCAAACTCTCTCCTTCTTCCCCCTGTTTTTGTTTTGTATTGTTTTTTTATTCGATTAAATTTCAACAATTTATCATATAATTGATATTTCAATGTTTTTTGAAATTTTTTTTATATATTTCAATGTTTGAAACAAAAAATGATATTTCAAAGTTATCTATGCATTTTTAATCACCATCGCCCGTTAACTAATAAAGACTGGCAATATACAATAGCAGGAATCCACATATGCATTAATATGGAATAACAAAACAATTAATGATCTATCTAATTCTAATGTAATTAATGTTTCTAGAATAAACTGTCCATAATATACAAAGCTCGTTATCAATGTAACTCATAAATAAATGAGTTAATTAGGATATCAATTTTTAAATTATTCAATGTAAATACGTAGGTTGTCCAAGATAACACAAACGTAGATGAGTATTGGTGGCTTGAAGTAGCGGGTGTAGGTTAGAACTTAGAGAGAAAAAAACCTTAAACTAATACTATGCCAAGAGACGTTGAGAGGTTAACGAAATTCTGCCCACAGCAAGCAATCTCTACTACCCTTATATATTATTTATATTTAAGGAAATATATGCCATATATACTTTGAACTATAAGTTTAAAATTATAAGTTTAAAAAAAACAAAAGAAAAGAAAATGGCAGATTACTTTAAATGGGTGTTGTGTTGGTTAGGGAAGACGTTGGCATCAGTCGCCGGTGGAGAGGTCCGTCCAAACCCTCCCGACTCTCTAACGGATTTTATTTTTATTTTATTTTTCTCCATCTCTATATATATATATATATATATATAAACTCTTATAATACACTATATATATAGATATGTTTGTGTGCGTGCTGTTACTCTTCACCTTTCTTCTTGTTCCCACATACCCATCTTCCCCAACCTTTCCTCCCAAAAAAAAAAAAAAAAACTCTAGGGTTTTAATTTGGATATTTATATATAAAATACATGAAGGCACCAAAATACCTGCATACGTTGGTGATATAACATCTGTGTGGTTTCCTTTCTTTTGATATATATTGTCTCTTTGTTCTTGTATTGGTTGCGATCGGTACACTTTGTGTTAAATAACTAAGTAATTAGATAGATCGGCGTAAAGAAGAAAAGGATCATGTGTAGTCGAGGCCATTGGAGACCAGCGGAAGACGAGAAGCTAAAGGATCTAGTCGAACAATATGGTCCTCATAATTGGAACGCCATAGCCCTCAAGCTCCCTGGTCGATCTGGTAATATATCTTCTAGGGTTGGTCAATATATTACAAAACTAGGGTTTGATGATCATATATTGGTTAACACAAAGGTAAGATGTTAAATTAACTTGTGCTGATCGATGTATATGCAGGTAAGAGTTGTAGATTGAGATGGTTTAATCAATTGGATCCGAGAATAAACAGAAACCCTTTCACGGAAGAAGAAGAAGAAAGACTTTTAGCCGCTCACCGAATCCACGGGAACAGGTGGTCCATCATCGCTAGGCTTTTCCCCGGGAGAACTGATAACGCCGTCAAGAATCATTGGCACGTCATCATGGCTCGACGCACACGCCAAACCTCCAAGCCTCGTCTTGTTCCCTCGACAACTTCGTCTTCTTCTTTGACGGGGACTGAACAAATCATGAGCTCTTCTTGTGATCGGAAGAGAATACTTGGAGACGTTATTAGTTACCCTTACCAATTCTCTCATATCAATCATCTTCAGTTCCTCAAGGAGTTTTTCAATGGAAAGATCGCTTTAAATACCAAAGGTAAAACTCAAAACGATGGACCCGATTTCTATCAAATGTGTTTACATGTTCATATGAGTGTTGGAAGGATTGGAGATTATGTCTCAAAATGTTATAGTTAACTTATACTTTTGATCTTCCCTTTTCTCGATGCGATCGCAGCAAACCAGAGTAAAAAGCCTATGGAGTTCTACAATTTTCTACAAGTAAACACGGATTCAAACAAGAGCGAGGTTATTGATCAAGATGTAGATCAAAGCAACTCTAATAATCAAGATTATTCAAACGAAAGTCGTGTTCCCTTCTTCGACTTTTTGTCTGTTGGAAACTCGGCCTCTTAGGGTTATTAACTTGTTTGCGTTTTGTGTATACATATGTAAGTCCTAAATTTCTATAGCTTAACTATTTAGTCCATATACGTACTATACTTTAGATCAACAACATGTATGTTTGATGTTTGGTGTAAGAAACCAGTAATTAGTGAGGTCTAATCGGTCTATGCGAAATGTGAAAACAAAAGAATCAATGTTATTGTATCCACACCACAAATTTTCAATCGTTTTGTACGAGATAAAATTAATGTCTAATCATACAAATATCTTACCAAGAAAAACTAACATGTAAACCTTTTTTTTATGGAATAATCATAGAAATCCTACGGCGGCGTTCTTAGTGTGGAGAAATAGTTAAAAGACGGTTTTTTTTTTTTTTTTTTTGGGTAAAAAAAGACGGTTTTTGTGGTTGAGTAAAGAGGAAAAGTTAAAGATGTCGTGTACGAAGTAATAGATGCAATTACATGATCAGCGGACTTATTCAAACATATCGCTTACGGTCAAGATCATGCACAAAGGAACCTACTTCCTTACAACTATCCATAACTGATAACTTATATAGTTATGTGTGTACAGTGAAAAGTAGATTCCCTCGTATATATTATAAAAATTTTAAAGATAAATGTTGCAACAAGTCTGCAATATAGTTCGAACTTCGAAGTCATGTTAGTTATAAATGAGTGAAATGGTTCCTGATTCTTACGTACTCTATCAGAATTTTTTGTTCTAATTTTTTGTATTAAAGCACTCTTTCAAATGATTGTTTGTTTAACCCATTACTTCAGATATCTTGAGTAACGAACACACTGTTGCATGTAAAGTTTTTTTTTTCTTGACCAAAGGCCAAAGGCTTTCAATGCATGTAAAGGTTTTGATGAAGAAACTTATTGAACTGGATTATTTTATGGTGAAGTATAATAACGGAAAGACGGAATGGATGTTGGAGTATAGATATGATTAAGTTGGACGTAGTTATCAGCCACCAAGAAAGATATTTCACGGCAGCAAATAAAAAACCTTAGTCAAAAAATGAAGATACCCAAAAAAAAGAGTAAAAAATAATGGGAGATGTACTTGGAGATAAAAAGCATACATCTTGACATTTAAGTTGACACGACTTATAACCACAACTTAAAAAAAAAATTAGTTCCTCTGAAACCAGTCTCTAATTTCAATTTTAGTTTCATCAGTTTTTCAGTTTATTTTTTGTATTCTTAGATTTGGTTTCATAATCACTTCTGCACAAGTGATTCAAATTTATAAGTTTTGAGGCAAAAGTATAATTTCAAAGAACTTGAGGATTAACTTACAATAGCTGATAAGTGTGATAAGTTTTGCGTAAGTCGGCACACGTGTGAGATCCTCTACTATCTGGCCGTCTCGGAGCTCTAGATCGCCGGCAGATCTCGAAGCGCGTATCAACGGTCGCTCCCTAACTTTTAATTGCATTTGTTGCAAACGCAAACGCGAAAAAGCGTTCCAATCTGGCGTTTTGGTTCGTGCAGCTGTAACTCCGTCTGGATCGCAATTAACCCAGCAAATGAACACATTCTTAAGTTAGACGAATCCTCGTCTTTCTCTTCCAAAATACGAATCAAACCCGAGATCAAGAACCTCCTTAGTTCAAAGAAACCGCCATAGATATGGCGACTAAGGCGGCATCGTCTTCAAGCCTCCCCAAATCTGGAGCCATCTCCAAAGGCTACAATTTCGCTTCCACTTGGGAACAGGTAATCGCGAGTTTCTATCACAATCTGAGCTCGAGATCCCGCCATTGGATCCAGGAAAATCCAACTGATGAGACTAGTTGTGTCCAGATATGGATCCTTTGTTCAGATGCAAATGGTTGGATCTGAATATCAGAGATTCACTGTGGCCATGCCTCAGTTATCTGAAACGCAAATGTGCTTGTTTTCTCTTCATATACTGAATTGTAATGTGGTTACTTTCCGTTGCAGAGCGCTCCTTTGACAGAGGAGCAACAAGCAGCTATAGTTTCTTTATCCCATGCAGTCGCTGAGCGGCCATTTCCTGCTAATCTTGTGAGTCTGAGGTTGTCTGTTTTGTAATTTATTTGGAATGTTATTCCTTTTTTGTTGATTTCACTGTTAGTTCATAATTTTAGGTACATGAGCATGTTCACCGGCCCGAGAATGGCTTGTCGGTCTCAGCAGAAGACACACACTTGGGAGATGCTGGAGCAATTGAAGCTGTTTTGGTTAATACAAATCAGGTAATCTCGTTTCCTGCAACTTGATGCTCCAAAGATCTCTCACGTCTGTGAAGAAAGACCATGCTTAGCTGGTTTGATAAAGAAGTTTCTATGCGGTACTATAGGGGTTGCATTTGTATTTGTGGGCATCTCTTTTCTTACATCTGTATATGTGTGTACTAATGCTTCTTCATTTCGGCTTATGTTGTTTTTATCACAGTTCTACAAATGGTTTACTGATCTTGAATCAGCGATGAAGTCTGAGGTTAGTGATAGTCATGTTGTTCCTAGGTTAAAAGTCGGGAAACATTACTTTAAGTATGTCTAAATGATTTGTTCTTTTCTGACATAGACAGAGGAAAAGTATCGGCACTATGTCAATACTTTAACTGAGCGCATCCAGGGGTGTGATAATATACTTCACCAGGCAGGTTTCCACCAAGTTTTGTACAATGCTGTGGCCTTACCTTTCCAAGAAATTATAAGACATCGGTTTCTGTATTGACCTTAGATTTTCTCCTGCGCAGGTTGATGAAACTCTCGACCTATTTAATGAACTGCAGCTTCAACATCAAGCAGTAACAACAAAGACTAAAACTCTTCATGATGCATGCGACCGTCTGGTATTGTTTTCTCTCTCTTCTATGTAACAAAATGATTTTATTGTTTTTCTTAATCTCTTACTTGCGTTTTCTCCTACCTGTTATAAATATCGAAAATGACATACAAAAGATGCTTAATGCATCATGGCTGATCAATAGTTTCTGACTCGCTATTTGATTTCCGTAGTTTACTTACTTGAGCTCTTTCTTTCACCATTTCTAGTTAATGGAGAAGCAGAAATTGATGGAGTTTGCAGAAGCTCTAAGGAGTAAGCTCAACTATTTCGATGAATTGGAGAATGTAAGATTTAAATAAAGGCCTACCAACATCATTTATGCATATGTTAAAGTATAAGTGTGTAGTTGCTTGAGATAGTGCTCTTGTTTACTCATTGACATAATCTACTCAAAACTTGGCCTACCCGTGGAATTTAGTACATAGTGTATGTTTCTCACTGAATACTGGTTGTAAGTTTAGGAGGAAATACGTAACACGGTGTTAAACGGCTCTAATATATATATGTTTTTGTTTTGTTTTTGCAGATATCCTCCAATTTTTACTCTCCAAATATGAACGTATCAAACTCTAACTTTCTCCCATTACTGAAACGGCTCGATGAGTGCATATCGTGAGTAAATGACGTTGCATTCAGTTATTATGAAATTTACGACATGGCGATTTTCTAAAAAACTGCTGCACTTAAAGTTCGTCCTGCTCTATTGAAATGATTGTAATATGCTTCTTTTACCTTGGGTTCTGTAGGTACATCGAAAGTAATCCCCAGTATGCGGAGTCGAGTGTTTACTTGCTAAAATTTCGTCAGCTCCAGGTACTACGAAAGAGCCCTCACTCTCTCTGTCTCTCCTCCCTATATCTATCTCACTGAGAGACGCTTGGGTTTACAGTTCTTGCACATGCATTGTTTCCAAAATTTGTAGGGAGATAAGTATCGTGTATCCTCTGTTATGTGAGAAGGCTAACATGTATAATTTTTACAGTCACGCGCCTTGGGCATGATTCGAACATACATCCTTGCAGTGCTCAAAACTGCTGCTTCCCAGGTAAGTATTCTTTGTAATATGCATATAGTCTTGCACAGCTTACACAAAGTATGTATCTAGTTCTCGTGATTGTGTATGTACATATATTGCATATCTTTATGCATGTAGTAAAAGGCAGGTAGAATGAATTTTGTAGTTATGCCTAGTTTCCTTGAAACAGGCGTGTTAATTTCATTGTCAGGTTCAGGCAGCTTTTCGTGGAACAGATGGAAACAAAGCATCTGTCTCGGAGGGTGTCGAGGCATCAGTTATATATGTTCGCTTCAAGGCTGCTGCAAGTGAGGTGATACCTTATTAAATTCTTTTCCATGTTAGTGCAAATTGCTAGGGTCACGATATTAGATAAGTGAACATGGAAATTTAGCTTTTGTAGCATTAATCAACGTCAGTATTGTGAGTTTAGTGTTGAGATTACGGCATGAGAATATTTTATTTTTATGACTGAACATCGAAAAAATTATTTGTCCAGCTTAAACCTGTATTGGAGGAAATTGAGAGTAGGTCAGCAAGAAAGGAATATGTTCAAATCCTTGCAGAGTGCCACAGACTATACTGTGAACAACGGCTTTCTCTTGTGAGTTCATTTTCTGGATTACAGTTTAGTTTAGTTTCTATCTGTCGATAACTATAATCGCCTGTTTGTTTGTTCAATCTACATTGTCAGGTCAAAGGCATAGTTCACCAACGAGTATCTGATTTTTCCAAGAAAGAGGCACTGCCATCTTTGACTAGATCTGGTTGTGCATATCTGATGCAGGTATATGAAGGAAAATAAAGGGATAGATACCTCTCTTTATTCCCTAGGGAGACTTGGAGTTATACCAGTTTAGTAGAAAAGGACATTGCTATCATCATAGAGGATAGAACACATATAAGAAAATTTGAGAATGTTAATATAGCAGTTAAATCTTGTGATATGAAAGGTCAGACGAGGGTCTTTGAGAGAGATAATGGCTGGATTATCAGCTTTTGCTGCTGAAATTTTTAGAAATTGTTGATGGACTTGGTTTTACGAAACATAAATTACTGCACCACATTTCTTAACTCCATTATGAATTTCAGGTTTGTCATATGGAGTATCAACTGTTTACTCATTTCTTTCCAGCATCATCAGAAGATGTTTCAAGTCTGGCACCTTTAGTGGATCCTTTGTAAGCTTATTATTGCGGCGCTGTCCATGTTCACCATCTCTCTTTTTGTTCAATCTAGCTTAAAATGATTTTTGGTGCCTTTTATACTGAAATATAGATAGCTAATACAGATTAAATTATTTTGAGCCTTAAGCATCTACTTTATCTACTTGAAT